GTCTTTATCGTTTACTCGGTTTTCCTGGGTCTTTTCACGTGTGTTATGAATAAATTTTCTTTTTTTCGGTACCGGTACGAGTTTTATTTTGTTGTATTTATCCGCGACACCTTAAAGGCCGGTCCATGAAAATATTGTCGGGCATAAACCGGTCCGTGGCGCAAAAAAGTTTGGAGACCGCTGCTTTAAGTCAAAGGACAAGTCACAACCACAAAGTGTCTCACATATGGCTAGTTCAATCCTTACAGCTACAGTACATTTTATGGGAAGTCATATCATCACAGAGGTTTGTGAGAAAATTCCAGAAAGTTACTGTGCTTTTCCAAGAAACAGTTCAGGAGAGGATGTTTTGTGAAACAGGGGACATGTCTTTTAACTAAGACTGCTAAACTAAACTAGCACTGCTATATTTGATTCTTACTCGCTCATCCAAAGACACACAAGCACCAAGTGGTATATACATATGCAGACACATATCAAGATTCAAGATACAGTAATGTAAAGCTATTTCTTTTTAAATAATGACTTTTACGGGCGCTATCTGACACTGTTGTCTTTGTCGCTCACAGGGAACCATGACTGGGTTGGCAGTGATTTTGCTATTAATGCAGGAGTTGGATTGGTGGTCAAAATGAACGGCAGTGCTGAAGACAGAGGAGTGACAATCCTGGAACATGTCAAAGCTACTTTTGAAAGGGACTGGAGGTCCCGCTACGCTCAGAGCCGACATGGAGTCAAGGATCAGCAGGGAAAATACAGAAACTTGCAACAGGGAAAAAAATATATGGAAACTAAGGAGGAAAATGAATGGAACTACCCTTTATATTTATAAGCACAAAATGTCTTTTCCCAGTATGTCTTAAAGCCCCATAAGCCTAAATATGCTAGATCTTACAAATATGTACACAAATAAGAATGTAAACCTACTCTATACTGTATGACTTGCCAAAGTATTGCTTTGACTCAGTATTATAATAATATATGTTTAATTGTTGACTGTTATATAAGCATGTAATACTGCATGCATACCAAAAGCAATATCTCAGTATTAACTCAGTATTAACTATATACTAGCACAAGCAATGTGACAAAAACAATTCTCTCTATGTGTAACCCACCAAAACAGTTTACATACATCCACTATTTTTAAGTCCTTCATTGCATTTTATATGTTTTTAAATCTACAGTTTGGCTGCAACTGTAATCAGGTCAGATCCTGAAATGGCACACACCGGCATATGCAGTAGTTTTATTCTGTTCATCATATCTCTTAAATTATTCATCTGTCTTCATAAAACATAGCTTTTTCCTTGTTGGTGTTGTTTTTATTTCAGTCTGCTGGTATGTTTAGTGCCCAAAATGTTTCACTATACAAATTTGTATTGCTGACAGAACAAAAGTATTTATAGGTATGTTTTGCCTTATCCTGTCTTTCCATCCAAGCCAGTAATAAGCTGCAAGTTAAATGCTCAAAAGCCTGCAGACAAAAAATAAGCCTTGAATAGTTTTGGTTTAAAAATGCATAATTTAAATAAAGGATTTGAGAGTTCTCAAGTGACTCATCTTACCAGCACTTCACAGTTAATAACTGGAAAAAGACAAATTTACTAACAAATCCAAGTTTGAGATTTGGGTCAGCACCACAACACCCACACTTTTTTAACATGACAGCAGGAGTATTCAGGACTGGGATTGTTTTGCCCTGAGCTGGACCATTGGCGTAACTTTGTGCTGAACAATTAGGGGTCGGGGGGACCTATATCGACTGAGCAAGAGGAATTTCTGTTCTTCAAACACGTGCTCAGGCCTGTGGTTTACATCTTTAACCTCTTAAGACCCGAACTCTTCCACGGCATGCATTTTTAATTTCTCTTCGATATTTGGGAATATTGGGGCCCGATGAATGTAAAAACAAAAAATTACCAGATTTTTTTTTACCTTATTTTTGTTTTTAAGAAAAATAAGAGCCACATATGAGGATATTCGTTTAAAACTTTGATAGAACAGTAGCAGTATAATGTCCTTTTAAGTGGATATCAGGCCCTTGTAGAGCAAAATTGAGTAATTTGGTCTAAATAACCCAAAATGTGATGTCCACATATGTGGACGCCAGGTCCTTGTAGGTTAAGGAGATGCATTCATACTGCAGCAGGTTAGTAATTCCCAACACACAGCTCAGAGTGGATCTAGTATGCTCATGCTGTATTTTTTTTTCTGGGAGTCCATTTGATCAACCATGTGGGATTTACAGTTATCTTCTACATGACACTGGTTCAGCCCCACAGTCTTTCACTATCTGAAAAAAATTACTCTTTACCCTTTAATGCCACATTTCCTCTAACTGAAGGCCCCATCACAAACAGGAGGATAGTGCTGCCATGCTCACAGACAGAGCTGTGTGTGATAGCCCTGCTAAAGAGATTCTCTAGCTCAAAGGAATTACTTCTACTATATATTAATGAATATATCTAATATCACAATGGGCATCCAGATATAGATATAGATATATTTAAGACTAATGAACATCAAGGATTGGTACAAAATAATCTTGTCATTGCCCATGATTTTGCTATTTTGAGTTCTTAGTTCGAGTTTGTTTTTTTGTTTTTTTAATTAGAGTTTATTCGTTTCCTCAGTTCTTTCTCTTTGTTTTCCTTTGGTGTCTTTTCCCTTTATTAAATTTACTTTTGTGTCTGAGGTTCCCAGTTTAGTTATTGTTATTTTCTTTCTGAATTACTTTACTCGTTAATTGTCTTCTGTGTCTCATATTCAGTTCCTTCTTCCTCCCCTGTGATTGTGTTGATTCTGTGCACCAGTGTCTCATTTCCTTGATTAACTTTTACTGTGTGAGTATACATAGTGCTGTCTTCTCTTTGTCTGTGCTTGCAGTTTTTGTTTATTCTCCTAGTTTGTTTGCATGTATCACCTCTGCTGTTGGATTTATGAAACTTATTATTTATTGGGCTTTTATCCACCAATAAAGTTGCATTTTGTTTATCCCATCTGTATCCTGAGTCTATATTTGGGTCCTTAACCTAAAAACTGTGACATATCTGACCTCAAGCTTGAACGGAGGCACTTAAAGACTGACAAAGCCAAGCTTGTTCAAACACTGTCAGACAATGCTTGGATAAGACAGGTTATAAGGCTTAATCTATCCGTCCCATTTACTGCTTGTCCAATTCAGGGTCATGGGGTGACTGGAGCCTATCCCAGCTGTCATACGGTGAGAGGCCACATTTGAGCTATGGCCAAATAAAACATCTATCCTCTGAGATCAAGTCAAGGTTTGTGGAAAAAGGAAAATAAGGAAAATATTTTTCAGAATATTTTTGGCCACTCAAGGGTGGACAGACAAACAGCAAACTTACAAGAAAATACCCAAAAAGGAGAGAGAAAAGTGTTACCTGTACACTAAAAACAGAAGTATTTGTTTCTAGGCAATGTATTAAAGGCCAAGTTGTTTTCATTTCTCCTGCTCATTTGAGCCATTTAAAGATTTCGTCCTTAAGCAAACGTCTGAACCCATGGTACTGTGAGTGATGGGAGACAAGAAGAAAAATTCTTCTGTATAAAAATGTATGATAATGTTTATTTGTAAGTAAATGTGGAGGATCATATGTCATATCGAGTAATTAATTTCTGTATCTTTCTGTAGCAACAATTACTAAAGTCAAGAGTGGTGCAGCCCACTCACAAATCAGAAAATTCAGTGGGGCCTTAAATCTTAACTTTAAACAAAATGAAAGTGATGTATTTCCTTGAACATTTTACTCAAAAAAATATAAGCAACACAGGCTGTTGGCTATAAATTGCTAATGCTACCTAGTGTTAAGGCCAATGTATGACCCACTTTCAGTACAAGAGCAAAAAAATTTAGGTCAGATTAATGAGTCGTACCACAAACTAACCTGCTATTACCAATTTGAATTCTGTCTTATAAATCAAACTGTCTAACTGTACATACTCACTTGAGTGAGTAATTTCAACCACAATTTCTCTTATTTCTGCAGCCAATCTGCAGTACCTTTGAGGCCTAGCAGGGTGCCTCAACCCACACTTTAGGAACCACCATTCTACTGTTCTAAAGCAGTAATGTAGACTTGTACACATTTACAGTTATTGTTGGAATCATAAATGAACAAAACATATAGAAAGATCAATTGCACAATTGTTCATGATGTTATCTTAAGAGTAATATTGACCAGATATCAATATCATTCAGGGTTATTGTGACACTCTTAATATAAACACAACTTTACGATTTTAAATGTATAAACTGTAATTTGTAGCAATGGGAATTGCATTTACCCATGTGTTCCGCCCGGAGTCTTGAGAGTGTAACACCGGAAGGTGAGAAGTAGACTCATGACTGTTTATTAAGAGTTTAAAATAAGTTTACATCGGACGAGGGAAAGTTCAACCGAGCATCTTGTGGAGTTTATAGAGAGAACAAGATGAAACATAATTTATCTAGAAATTGTGCACAAAAAATGTATAACTTAAACACGAGGTGGTGCTGTTACACCATTATGGTCTTTTGCGTGCCAAAGTTTTGTACTGTGAGTTTATTTTGGATGTATTCTGATGTATTCAGAGGTAAGAACCTCAACGACGTCTCTGATATGTTTCTAGATTAGTCTAGCAACCTTTTGAATTCAGATTAACGCTTTTAGTGATTGCTGTGCTTTCTGGGTTGGACTGTGTATTTCTGTATAAAATTACCGGTGGGCTGCATTTTCTTTTTGGGGGAGTAGGGGGATTTAATAGCTCCACTTAGCATCTACGAGCAATGCTAAGTGGCTACAGCTGAAGTGGATGTATCAGCAGCAGCAGCCTTACTTCTGCTGCCCGGTGGAAAAGAGGCTACTGCTGCTGAAAGGAAGGGGTGGGGGCGCTATCACCATGGTAACAGATTAAAGGCAAAGCTATTTCGGCGTTTCTGCTGCAGTAACTTCAGAATATGAACCCAAGGGGATTTTTTTTTTTTAGAGTTAAATTATATTAGGGAGGTGATATTTCTATTTGGCTCAAATGCCACTTTTTCAAACTTCTTTGCTCCTTTAAACATCCCTAATACAGCAGTGCCAACTCTTTCAGTGCGACGAGCAGAGAGCAGGAGGGGGGGAGGAGGAGGATTGACAGCAGATGCCTTTGCAGCAGAGGACCAGAGAGGATGTATGTCCGTGTGTGCTGTTCCGGGACAAAATCCGCACATGTTTAAACGTTCACTTATCGAAAATTAAACCGCGAGATTTTACGAGTTTGTGAGAGAAAGCAAAGACAATTCAAAGCGCAGTGTCAGAGGGAATTCTTCTCTAAAGAAGATGGACGGGACGACCTGAATAGACGATTGGATCACTTCATTTAAAAGATGTATTTCGTGCTATCATTTTTTTTTCTTGATTAAATCAACTTGGATGTTCTATTGAGACCAGTCACTCAAAGCCTAGCTAACGATGGAGAGTGGAGTTTTTCTGCCCTGTCTGGATCAGTTCATGCTGAGCCCACTTGTCACTTGGGTAAGTGATGTACAATGCTCTGGTCTCCTCACAGATACTGTGATATCGACCTCAAATCCCATATTCTCTTTGCTGTTTAGGTGAGGACATTCGTGCCAAATGATGGGGGCATGCACTTGGATTTTTCTGAACTGCTGGATGGAGTCTTTCTAAACGACATAATGACCCAAATGTAAGTAATTTTATCCCAGTTTGAGCCTCCTGTTCATTTATCTGATTTTCAATCTAAGTTGTGTCAAGATAAATTCAGATTTTTGGCTGACTGTGGTCAATAAAGAATCTTTTTTTTTTTGCTGATTTCTGATCCTCTTGCTTCATGGTGTAGCATCCACTGATACTGTATGAAGCATCTGCTAACATTCTTATCCAGGGATCAACAGTACCAGCTTTGTTACTCTGCAGTAATAAAGGGGATCTTTGTAGTCAGCTGCAGACTTCCTCATTACTGACAGGTTTGGGTGTCTGACATAAATGTTAGAATTAGCATAAAAGTTACCCAGAGATGTACGGCTTGAGACAGACCAGACTGAAGGCAAGAGATTAACCAAAACATGAGAGACCTCATCCATACTGGCAAGATGCTACTTAAGAGATTATGATAGTTTTGCCTTATGTTCTGAGGGAATTACCCTCGTCCTTAGCAAACACTACCAAACCAGTGTGTTAAGCCTTCATGTGCAAGTTAAATGACACTTCAAAGATTGATAGATGACTCCTAACTAAAACTGAAGCACTCCAAAGAAAGAGGAAAAAAACTATGATCGAGTGCACTTGTGGATAATGCTCTTTAGCCATTGCAAATCTATAGTATCCATTCACCCCAATTATCTCCCCAGGGTCACAATAACCAGTTCTACATGAAAAAAAAAAGTTGCACTGAAGGGAGGGGAAGAGGCGGGATAATCTCCTGGATTGGGAAGACCCTTTGGGATTAGGGCCTGGTGTTTAGTGCCACTGGGACACAGATGGGAGGGGGAAAGAGTACAGAACAGGACAAACAGCACACAGAGGGAGACTCGGCAGCTCAGCATTATATTTGTGTCTGTTTCAATAATTATGACTGACTCTTTTTACGCTTTGCCTTCTTCTTTTTATCATCGTATATTAAGCGTATATATATGTTTCACTTTCTCAGTAATGAAATCTTACCTCCATAACAACCTATAACAACATCAAGCTTTAGAAACACAACAAAACAAAACTCCAGTTTGTTGGCAGGAAGGAATGATGTCACACAGGCTAAAGTTGGGAATGAATAGGGATCTTGTGAATGTTTCCGAGTCAAGATTTCTATCAGTTGCAGCTTCTTCTTATCCAAACATGTTAATTATGTTTGACTGCTTGCTGGTTGGTTTGAAAATGGCAGTAATGTCAAGTAAAACACTTTTATGTTACATTTTCAGAAATCCTTCAGCTTCATCTCAGGGTGCAAAGAAAATGAGCAAGGATCCAAGTCAGAGGATCCAGAACCTGAACTTTCTCGTGCAGCAGATCAAGACATTTTACCTGGTGAGTTCCCATTTTTTTATAGATACAGCAGCAGCTAAGCTTTCAATCTCCCTTAACATCAGATTATAATATAGTCTGGGTTTACTTTAACTTCAACATACTGGATGACTTAGCAGATCAACTAGTTCTTCTTAAGATGCATGGCCTAAATTTCAGTCATGTGAACATCTGTGTAATCGGCACAGGAGCGGCATTAGAGCACAGCCAGAGCCAGAGTAAAGCTGCAGTCAGAGTCACAGACAGAGCTTTAGACTGACGTATAAAGTTGCAAAATTCATGGGCAGACACCAGTGGTGTTAAAATCTTGGATTTTCTGTCTGTGTCAGAGTAATTAAGCACAATTTAACCCTTGAAATCAGTCAGAATCACCAGAGAAGCGATTTCACTGAGAACAGGACAATGAATTGATTATCTTAAGGAAAGGATAATCCACACAAATGAAACCACAGTAGCAGTATTTCTACTGTAGTTGCTTTTTGAAAACATACATGTATGTCTGCTAGTTATGTTGTTAATAGTACCTCTGCACACCAACACAATACATTTTAAATCAAAGAGTCAACATTCAATGAAGTTCAGACTTTCATCTTTAATTCAAGAAATCAAAAAAATGCATTAATTGTTTAGGAATTATACACAATTTTATACAGATCGTCTATTTTTATACTAATCTTAGAGGCTGAAAAGTAACAGAACAATTGACAAACTCAGTAATGAGGTCCAAAGGGATGTCCATGCAAGTGAAGATAATCTTTAGACTGAAAAACTAGAATCAATCTGTCAGAAACTTTAACAGTGGACAAATTATTCTTTAAAAAGGGTGCATTCCAACACGTTCTCACTCCCAAAGCGTAACATTTTACGCTAGGTGACAAAACGTCGACATGTTACGCCTCGGGAGTGAGAACGGGCTGTGCATTCTGAACTATACCGGGCTATGATCTCTACTCTGATGTAGCTAAATGCTGCAAAATTGATTGAACAGCAATTCACAGCATAAATAGATGGTGACCCAAACACACTGTAAAAGCAAACCAAGAGTTTATCAAGGCAGAGAAGTGGGATATTCTTCAATGGCCAAATCAGTTATCTTATCTCACCTCAGTAGAACAGGCTTTTCAGTTATTGAGGGCATGACTGACGGAGGAGAGAACCAACAGAAGGCAGGCAGGAGGAAAAGTCTGGTAGAGCATCTCAACGGAGGGAACAGTATTTCGTGATCTTCATGGGTTCTAGACTGAAGACTTGCTGTAAATGATTTTTTTTATCCAAATGTTAGAACAATCCTTATTTCTTTAAAATTATGTCAGTTTGTCCACTTACTTTTGAAACTTTGAAAATGAGGAACTATGTATAAAAACGTCTGCAGTTCAGTTAATGCTATACTTACGTTAAACTCATCGAGTTAAAGCTGAAACTCTGCACTCGACTTCTCTATACAGTAACGTTACACAAACAGCTATATTACACAAACTGTGTCACTATCCAAAGACTTCAGGACCTAACTGTACACATTTTAAGTTGTTTGTCCCCAGTGAATGGAAACAGAGACAGTCTGAGATAAACTGCAGCGTGCCATGTTTATTTTTGCATTAAAATTATTATTAGTAAGGCACTGTAGATCTAGGGCATCTAGAAGTGTTGCAGTCTATTTTTGGTTATTTTCATTCTCTAAGATCAGTTAAAAGACTTGACCGCTGCACTGGTTTAACTGGAACTTTCAGCTAAATGTCAGTGTGTGAACATGGCTCAAAGTTACAAGGCTAACATGTTTAGTATGTATGACGCTGTCTACAATTACAACATGAGTATAGCATCTAGCTTGCTGTCATTTAATAATTTGTGCTAAACAAATAGTGCAGCTGCAGCTGTTTGAATTAGTGTATTTTTGTTTGATTTTGACCTAATGGAGCTAAAGCTTACATTAAGGAGATGCAGTGATTCAATATGAAAGAGACAGAATAATAACAAGTGCAGTTCTATAGAGGAGCTTTCGCATAAGGTTCAAAAAGAAAGGATGATGGGAAACTTAGGCAGGGACAAGGCTGCAGCAGTTTTACAGAATTTCACCACGGCACCAGGGAAACTGGCTCTGTCATTTACCCATTCAGAGCACTCACCATTTGTTGGCAGTGTTTCTATACATGTATTTGAGCAGGTCCTATGTGCTGTACATACATACTTCTCCATCTATTCAAACACTTTGGCTAGAATGCAAGAAGTGTTTTGTCCTTGTTTCACTTTAGCCTAAATGTGGGGTTTTTCTCTAACCATCTCTCTTCTCTTTTCTGTCTCTTCTTTTGTAGGATAATCTGAGACAATTAATCATGACTCCTTTGCCAAATGTGTTGCTGCTTGGCAGGACTCCTTACTGTGGTATGCTCTTTAAAACGATTATACATTCCCAATATGCACCGCTTGATTTTCAGTGGTCAGCGATTTCTGAATAGTTAACAATGAAAACCTTTGAGTCTGTAAAATGAAACAGACTCTTTTCAGCTCCTTTAATTCAACTGCACACCGCTATCAGTCTGATAGCCGCACTAACTTCTGATGGCAATGCTTCCGCAAGTGATGACCCAAATACACCAACCAGCGCTGTGTTCAGTTTAAATCCGTGACAGCAGTCCTACTTCGATCCAGTGGGCTTGTTTTCCAATAATTCAATTTCTTTACTCTCATAGAACAAAGCCTGGATGAAATGAGGAAACTTTTGCTATTACTATTGGGATGTGCAGTTCAGGTAAATACTGAGTGATTCATATTTTAAAATGGTGTTTATGTTTTACGTTTCTGGGTCAGATTTGTGCATTTTTGCATTTTTACAGTGTGAGAAGAAAGAGGAGTACATTGAGAGAATCCAGACACTTGACTTTGAGACAAAAGCAGCAATAGCTGCTCATATTCAGGAGGTATTTGACTTTATATGACATATGCTTTGAATGCTACAGCGTTTTTTTTTACAGGTAATCATTTGTTTTTGTGCAGTTGTTTGTGTAGTTGCTGTGTTTTGTATTATTCTTTCCTCAACTACGCTGATTGTCATGTCCCGTGTTTAACAGTTGACTCACAGTCAAGACAATGTGCTGGATCTGCAGTGGTTGGAGTCTAGTGAGCTGCACCCCGATGATATGGAGGCAGCAGTAAGGAACATGACCACACACCTCCGACACCTGCTGGATCAGAGGGATACCCATCTGGAGGTACTTAATTTTCATATTTACAAACAGTATTAGCTACATATTTTTATAGGAACAATGGATATTATTTTATTAAGATGCTTTTCATTTTAGACTGAGCTCAGATACTGTACACTCATCACTAATGTTCAACCTGTAGTATTAATCCTGCTTCCTATTTGCAGACTATAGCAGAGCTAATGCAGGAGAAAGAGGGTGTGGTAAGTTTGCTCAGTAGCCCCTCCAGCCCACAGTCTGCCAGCTACTCTCCTACAATTCAGCAGCAGCAGGTGGGGACCCAGCAACACCTTGCAGTCGAACTGGCTGACTCTAAGGCAAAGATCAGACGACTTAGACAAGAACTGTAAGTATGTGATAGGTGGGGAAAATAATTGTTTTCTTTGTTTGTTGACTAAAATTAGCTTAAAAAGTTAAGATATATTTTACACTAACTGGAGATCAGAACATTTTCATATGAAAGTTACTACATAGATTGGATCAACGTTAAAAAAAGGCAAACTAATACAAAAGAGGTTGTAGTAAGTTGGAATTTTTGTAGAACTTTTCTGCCCAGATTTATTTCATCTTTTGTCCCCTTCATGTCACCAAAATGTTTGCAGAGTAAAGCGTTTGCTTTTCTCCCACATTAAAAGATTATTAGGTTAAGCATTGTAGAGTTCCTCCTAACGGTGCTGATTGGTAAATGGGTTTCCTCTGTGTAACTGCCAGTAGGGAATAAATAGGAGGCAGAGAGAGAGAGAGATAGTACAGGATAAGAGATGCCCTGCAGAGTTTGGCCCACATTACTGCCTGCTTGGCAGGTTCAATGCCTATGCACTACCACTGACCCATATTTGCTCTGCATATCTGCAGATACTGCACACACGAACACACGCACGCTAAAGCTGATCCAATCAAGATCTCAGTTCCATCATTGCTGTCCATCCCATCAGCTCACATACTGTTCAGAAACACAATGTCACATAAAGCCATGCTCTGATTTTTTTGAATGGCCTTAGACTATTCTTTTTATATAAGAAAATTAACACACTTTTTTTGTCATCAGCATGTGGGAAGGAAAGAAATGAAGCTTAACAGCTAATGTTTGATCCATTTTGTCAGAATTGCTTATATTTCTGTTATGCTTACTTATTATTTAAACATTTTCAATTCGTGTTTAAAATGTAGCGCATGCTAACCTCCCAACTTTATGTCTCTCTGTGATCCACACATGACACCAGAGAGGAGAAGAGTGAACAAATGCTGGACTGCAGACATGAGTTGGAGAACATGGAGGCTGAGCTGAAGAGAATCCAGCAGGAGGTCTGAAGTCAAAGAACACGTTGAAAAAAGAAAAAAAAAAAATCACAGCTAATGGTGACAAACAGTAACCTCCTGACCTCTCTGCAGCTTATGCAGATTATTGAACGCTGTACTTTGCTGCAGCTCCGTGCTTAATAACTACTAACTTAAACCTCTGAACACTGACTCAGATGTACAGCTAAAGCCCCTGTGGATTTGTCTGCTCGGGAAATCTCAATTTGCATTTGTGGCTTAGATGGTCACACTAGTTAACATGGTTCATATATTTATAACAATTAAATATTTAGTGAAAATAAAAGCAGTATTTAATTTCTTACAGCCATTTTTGTCTAGTGGAATGGAAAAAGTTATTATATCACCTTAAATTTTATATTGTTGTGAAACACTTAATCATGATCTTTGTCTCTAAAGGTTCTTTATTAATAATATTTTACTTACTTATATGTGCCTTGGCTTTCCCTGATAAAGTTATCACATGACAACAGATTGGATGTTCACGTCTTACCATAACAAAAAACACACAAATCTTCCATTCGTGTTTCCAACTAAACTAAGTCAGTGTTCTCTGCTGTTTTAGCTATTTGATGTTGAACTGATGTTTGATGATGAACTTTAGAGTTTATGGCGGAAATTTCTGACTATAAAAAGCTGTATCAAGCTTAAGACTTTTTTGTTATAAAACATTCTTTTCTCTTAACTTTACCAGAATTCCCAGTTGCTTCTGGATGCACGCGCAGCCCGCACTTACCGTGATGAACTGGATGCCCTGAGAGAGCGAGCCATCAAGGCGGACAAGCTGGAGAGTGAAGTGGGACGCTACAGGGAGCAACTGCACAAGATGGAGTTCTACAAAGCCAAAGTGGAGGTTGAGGCAGAATAAATACATGTAGAACATACATACATTACAAACATACAATAGACTTTTAATTAACTAGTGTAGTGAAAGATTCAAATAAAGAGAAATATGATGATTGGGTGGGATTCAGTGTGGTTTAGTATTTAAGGTGAATTTAAATATTTTTTCATGTTTCAGGAGCTAAAGGAGGATAATAGGGTACTCCAGGAGACTAAAGAGGTTTTGGAAGATCAACTGGAAGGCTGGAGGGCACGCTCAGATAAAATCCACCAGCTGGAGAAACACAATCTGCTGTTGAAGGCCCAGGTCCATGACATGGAACAGGTCAGACATCTCCACAGAGTTTACCAGAAATATCATTTAAAATATCTGGAAGGTTAGATTTCATCTTTAATGTTCATCTAGCTTGTTCACCAGCTGGACAGGTAGCGCTCTTATACCACCGCTTATAGTTTGGGTTTTCACTTAAGGAGAGGGAGGCAGATCGGAGGCGCATTGAGGAATTGCAAACGGACAACTTGGCTTTGTGTTTGGCACAGAGGAGGAGTATGGAGGAGTCCCAGCACCTAGGCTGGGAGTTAGAGCAACTCTCCAAGACCACAGAAAGCTCCCAGGGTAAGAGTGGGTGTAAAGAAGGAATAATGAGAGCTTAGGCTAATCTACAATATATTGCCAAAAGTATTCACTTACCCATCCAAATCACTGAATTCAGAGGTGACCAACTTTCTGCAGAGTCAGTCACTACAGACCTCCAAACTTCACGTGGTCTTCAGATTAGCTCAAGAACTGTGTGTAGATAACTTCATGGAATGGGTTTCCATGGTTGAAGAGCTGTATCCAAGCCTTACATCTCCAAGTGCAATGCAAAGCATTGGATACAGCGGTGTAAAGCATGCCCCCACTGGACTCTGGAGTGATGCATCACACTTCCCCATCTGCCAATCCAATGGATAAATCTAGGTTTTATAGTTTTCCAGGAGAATAATAATTTTATGACTATATTATCCCAAGTGTAACGTTTGGTGGAGGATGGATTATGGCATGGGATTGATTTTCAGTTGGGCTCGGCCCTGTCACGGCTGCATAGCCGGTGTGGCTAACCTCTCACCCTGGGTCAACACACCTGAATCACATGATTAGTTTGTTACCAGGCCTCTGGAGAACTTCAGGACATGTTGAGGAGCTAATTTAGCCATTTAAATCAGCTGTGTTGGTTCAAGGACACATCTAAAACCTGCAGGGACACCGGCCCTCGAGGCCTGGAGTTGCCCACCCCTGTCCTAACTAATAATAGCAACACAAGAACTTAACATATTTCCAATATAACATAAGGCACCAATAATACAAAAACAACCTCAAAATGTCAGGCTACAGACCCAGCCCCTGACAGACCCCTTAGTTCCAGTGAAAAGAATGAAGACATTTTGGACAATTTAATGCTCCTAATGTATAGGAATAGTTTGAAGATAGCCCAGTGCATTCAGATGAGCAGTGCACAAAGTCCTAAAAGAAATGGATCAGCAGGTTTGGCCTGAAAGACCTTGACTGGCCTGCACAGAGTCCTGAGACTACAAGCCAGGCATTCTCGTCCAACATCATGTCCAACCTCTGGATGAATGGTCAAAATGTTCCATAAGCACACGCCTAAACCTAGTGGAAAGGCTTCCCAGAAAAATGTGAAGCTGCTATTTCAGGAAAGGATGGGACGACATCATATTAAACTCTGCGAGTTAAGAATGCTGTGTCATTCAAGTTCATATGCGTGACTACTTTTGGCAATATAGTGTACTTTCCAGTGAGAGTAGATAAGGATAAGTTATGTAAAGGTGTGCATGCATTATTGTGCCATCTCTTAAATAAGTTATTTACTTGAAATACTCAACAATCAGGCTTAAGATGTGACTTTTATTGTCTTTGTTAAATGAATCTCTGTTACAAAAAGTGAATCAGAGGCATGTCTGTACATATGAGTGGCGCTTCTACTGATACCAAACTTATTTTTAATGATATTTTTGCAAATAGCAGCATTGCAGAATGTGAAAGTGACCAGTTAATAACATTCCTAGAAAAGTGAGCTATTTTCACTTGTTTCTCTCAAGCGTCTTGCAAACTAACTGTGTGTTTGTGTGTTTGTCAAAAGGCCAGCAGACCCTGAGTGAGGAGGTCAGTGAGAGGGCCTGCAGTCGATTGCTGAAACTGGAGAAAGAGAACAAACATCTCCTGAAGATTATAGAGGAGCTCAGAGCTTCTGTTAATAACATCACACAAACCAAACATAGCCACCTGGCGATGTGTAGTAACAACTGTACCTCATCAACAGACGAGTCCTCTGTGTTGCAGACCTCCTGCTCGAATGCTAAAAATCACTCTAATGGAGTCTCCCTCAGTATTGTAACAGAGTCGATGCTAAATGGGGATTTAAGCTGCCATCAGCAGCTAGACACCGAGGAGTTGGAGCGAGTCCAGAGTGTGAACCATCTCACAGCTAATCCAGAGCGTAATATCCAGGAGAAAGGACAGCTAGAGGATGGAGATAGTGGAGACCATTTCAAAGAAAGGATGTCTGATTTGGAAGTCTTAGAAAACAATCACAATAGGCGCCATTATTTTGTGAGGTCACATGATCACTCGCCTGGCTCAAAGAACAGCAGTCCCCGCCATGAAAGCATCTTCACAGGTCTGCCAACACGCTCCTCCTATGCCAGCAAGCACACACAGCGGCTAGAGGCCAAATGCAGGGCCCTGGACACAATAAATCAGCATCTACAAACTTCACTTGACAACACTGGTAGGTCCCATAGAAAATAAGTAGTGTTTTTGTACTTATATAGCAAAACATTTTCAGATTAATTTATTTCTTCTATCATTCTCCATGTTCAAGACCGAAAGGTTCAGCGTCTAGAGGCAGAGGTTGAGGAGCTGGAAGCAGAGAATCAGAGCCTGCAGGCCTCTTTAGAGGAACTTCGCATCTCTGCACGACGCCTGGAGCAGTTAGAAACAGAGAAGCAGACCCTGGAGCATGAAACAACTGCCCTGGAGAGAGACAAGAGGCAGCTAGAGAAAGAGAATCGACGACTCCGGCAACAGGTGGACAATTTTTTTTTTAAAAATAAAGATATCAGTTTTCTAGCGTTAGATAATGTTTGGAAACCTTATCGACTGTTCTACTTTCCTGTATTTCAGGCTGAAATCCAAGAAGCCAAATTAGACAGCAGTAATGTCTGTATGGCTAGCTTGGAAAGGGAGATGCGTTTTCTTGTAAAGGAAGTGGACGGATTAAGGGAAACTGCTGAGAGGGTGAAAGGCCTGGAGAGAGACAACAGAGAACTGACCAAGCAGGCTGCTATCGACCAGAGAACCCTGGCAACCCTCAGAGAAGTGAGGACTGACTGGATGCATAACATGACCGACAGCGTTTAATACATTTATTAGACTGTCACCCAATCTAAGGTTTATGCCAAAGCTGGCCTAACCGTACTGGTAATTACTAAAATGATTTTATTTTGTGTTTCTGTAATCATTAATACACCAGAAGCACAAGCTTTTTATATCAACATTACATTTTTAACACTAAAATAAAAATATTGTTGTTATTCATGAATTTTCAAATTTACAGTTTTACTAAAAATACTGAAAAAATAGTAAAGAACATCATTATGTTTTGATTAAGATCCCAAATTTTAATTGTTTACTTGCAGTAAAAATTGTCTACTTTGCTGGCTCAAATTTAGGTATAAACATGAATTCATTTTGTTATTTACCTAATAAATAACAATATAATTTTTAGTTTTACACAAGCTTTTGACAGATTTCTAAAATATTCATATTTTCTTTATTTTTTATGAGTGGTGGTCTAATAAATGTGTTAAGCACCTTAACCTTTAGTGGCAGTCTTCATATAACTACTTCAGGCCAACTAAATGACATTGCCGTCCCTTACATAATTTCCTTAGGGATTAATAAAGTATTCTGATTTTGATTCTGATTAAGCAATACTGCTATTATGGAAACCTGTTTGTTTTATTTGAAATGTATTGTCTATCTTTAGGAGCTAGTTAGCGAGAAGCTGAGAACCCAGCAAAGAGACAATGAACTAGAGAGGCTTTCCCATGAGCTGGAAATGAAGGTCCTGAACCAGGAGAGTGCACATCAGGCTGAACAAGAGAGACCAGATAACAGGTCTGTGCATACTCTTTGGAGCTTTCTGTTCCCATCACGTAACTATTTAAGAGAATGTTATAACAAATGCAAAGTTTTATAACGCAAAATAATTTTCTATACACAGCAGGTTCAAAATGCTCGAGTCTGAGCTGGAGACATCTCTGAAAAAGTCTCTGCAGATAAAAGACGACAAGTTGGCTTCTTTGGAGGCCCGTCTGCAGGAATCCTCCTCTCTGAATCAGCAGCTGCGCCAGGAACTAAAGAGTGTAAGGAATAAAGTTAAGCTTCCCAGACCTGTTAGTTTCTCTGGATCCACTTGAACGACTGTCTTCCATCACACAGGTGAAGCTGAGCTATGAAGCCCTGCAACAGAGGCAGGAGGAAGAGAGGACAACATCAAGTTCCACACCTCCAAGAGAAACTGGCAAGGCCATGAGTGAATGGCTACGTGAAAGTCAGGAAGCTACCAAAGAACTGCTAAAGCTAAAAGATCGCCTCATTGAAGTCGAGAGAAATGTAAGTGACATTGTGTGTGAGAGAGAGATTGGGTGAATGAGACTCGTAGTAAAAAGTGCTCTGAGTGCTCAGTTAAAATAGAAAAGTGTCTAAATAAGTAGCAGTCCATTTACATTTCTGTAAACACATAAAGAGGAACATAGAACACATAAAGCTGTACAATATTAAATTATATCATGGGTTCCTGTACACAGAGATTCCCTATTTTTGATAATGGCACACAAATTATGCTAAAGCTAATACCACGCTACAGTTTGTCATAATATCTTCCTGCTCTCTTATGCAGAATGCGACACTGGAGGCAGAACGCCAGGCTTTACAAGCCCAGCTAAAACAGCTGGAAAGTCAGTCTGACAGCCAGCAGGCTCAGGTCCTTGCACTGCAGCAGCAGGCTGCCTCACTGCAGGAGAACAACACAGCATTGCAGACACACAATGCAACCCTGCAGGTGTCATTACAATACACACTAGTCTCTGTAACAGAATTCACATAAAAGCTTCTGTAATATCCTCTGGTAAGCTTCTGCTCTTGTAAACAGCATACATAAACTATTTATGTTACATTAATTCCTTGGTGTTTTTCTCCAGGTGGAAAAGTCAACACTGAATTCACAGAGCGCCTCCCTTATGGCCCAAAACACTCAGCTGCAGCAGCAGCAGTCTAAGGCAGAAAGTGAACGGGACAGTGCTATACATGAACGTGAAGAGCTGCGTGGTGCTCAAGAGCAGCTGTTACGAGATCATGAGCGCCTGGCAGTCCTGCATGAGCGACAAGCCATGGAGTATGAGGCCCTGATGGGCAAGCACGGCTGTCTGAAAAATGCCCACCGCACACTGGAACTGGAGCATCGCACTCTTCAAGACAGGTAGGTCACAAGAGAGCTGTGGACGATGGTAAAAGTTTGCATACAAGTTCATTTAAACCACTTGTCTTAAGGATCATTCATATCTTTAATCTGAGCATTGCCAGTTAACCTAAACCCAAACATGAACTTCATATTCATGTTTGGATTGTTATTTAGATACAACAGCCTGTTGCAGCAACGTAGCAAATTAGAAGACCTGGAGAAAGCCCTCAAGGAGGAGCAGATGAGGATGGCTTTGGAGAAAGAACAGCACAGGACAACGGCTGCTGAGTGCTGCAGACTCCGTGATGAGAAAGACTGGTGAGAACGTGCATGCACACAAACCTACACACACACACAAACTCCAGAGCATGTATATATATGTGGATATATCAACAAAGGAAATTTTTCTCATGATACATAATTTTTTAAGGCTGAACCAGACATACCGCCAGCTTCTTAACGATAACGAAGCGCTGACATCAGATCACAAGCAGCTCAAGAGCCAGCTGAATGAGGCCAAGCTGGAGCACACGTGGCTAGAGGCAGACTTTTCGAAGCTCAAAAAGGACTATCAGCAGCTCGACATCACGTGCACAAAACTCACAAACCAGTGTGAGGTATGCTTTCAAATCCTGTGAATAATCTGACGGTTGCATTAAAATAACAACTTTCAACCATTTTTTTCAAATGCTTAACCAATTCAGAATTCCAAAGGGGCTGAAACCTATCAACCCTATTTTCACAATTGCATATCAGTGCGACTTTTGATAGATGTTTATTTATAAGCATGCATGTTCATCTGACGCTTAGCTGCTGAGCCAGTTGAAGGGCAACCTCGAGGAAGAGAACCGCCACCTGCTCGCCCAGATTGAGACCCTGATGCTACAGAACCGGACTTTGCTGGAGCAGACTATGGAGAGCAAAGATCTCTTTCATGTTGAAGAACGCCAGTATATGTAAGTGCACAGGACAATAGTAAGTTTACCATGATCAAATCTTCATGCTATAGTATTTTGCTAATGGACTTAACAATGTTTGGTACCTGCAGACAACAAAACATTTCGCTAATTAGGATATCAAAAATGCCCCTTTAGTGAGACCTAAATTCTATTGATGATTAACCTATAATCTCTCTCTTTTCAGTGACAAGCTTAATCATTTGAGGAGGCAGAAAGAGAAGCTGGAGGAAAAGATAATGGACCAATATAAGTTTTATGAGCCCTCGCCTCCTCGCAGGTAAGGGGACACCTTTATTTTCATGTTTATGTTGATGAAACAAGTTTTATAACTTTTTACATAAATTCCAGTTCATAGAGACAGTTATTTGATCAATTAAGGCAATTTCATAGCATGGAACATGATTCATTTGTATGTAGTCATATTTCTGGCATGTGAATGCATAAGGATAAAGAAAAGTGAAATGTTCAGTGCATCATGGCAAGACCCTCAGCAGCCTGAACCTATAGCTGCATAACTCAGGCTAGCTTCAGGCTCACGTGAGTCACTAAGCCTTATACTTATACTAATTAGAGGATCCTCATACCTGAAGGCTCTGCCTCCTGTTCAACTTTTGGAAACCATTGGAACTAGGGCTGCTCAATTAATCGAATTTTAATCACGATTACGATCTGGGCTTTCAACGATCATTAAAAATGACTGAGCCGATTATTAGCCCCTCCCTCATTTATCCGCGACACCTTAAAGGCCGTCTGTGAAAATATTGTCGGGCATAAACCGGTCCGTGGCGCAAAAAAGGTTGGAGACGCTGATTAAGAGGACCCGAGGGAAGCTCGGAAAGCTAAGCAGAAGTTATTTGGAGAGTGACTGCTGTTGGTTGAAAAGAGAGTTTAAAAAAAAAAAAAAACTTCAGTGGTGTTGCACACTATTTTATATTATTTTTTTAAAGTCATTGTTAACCCTTTAAAGCCGGTCAGAGCAGCATGCTCCGTTTTGCGTAACTATTTTTAAATCCCTGTAGAACCTGAACCGTGTAAGCTAGCGCAATAATTTGTTTTGCATATGAAACCGGAGGAGTTGTACTTACATCTTATGCCATCAGCTTGTCCTCGGTCACGGTTTCGTTCCACATATAGCTTTGCAAAAATTGCATAAAAAGCGCTTGCAGGAACAAAAACATAATATTCCAGAAACACGCTTTGCCGTTCCTATCAGCTGTTCGTAACACTTCCCACAGTGAAATGATGCACCTGCTGTTTTCTTTGCAAATTTGCATCATAGGATTGTATTTTGTTTTTCCTGCAGTATATAAAAATTGCTGTATCTCCAAAATAAAACTATGAAGACACTCAAAATAAATTTCCTGTGGTGGGAAACTATTTTTTGCAACTTTATTGTATTTAAAGTTTTGAGGGATAAACCTCTTAAATTTCTCCAAGTAGAAATATATGTAAACAAAACAAAAGCGATTTTCAATTTTTTTTGTAGTTTATTGCACTTTTTTGCAATTTATGTAATTACTATGGACTTAATGCATACATATTATTAAAATATGGGCTATAACAGTTGTATTGATGTATAGCAACTTGAAATGCTCCCACAAATGGCACTACAGCATGTAAAAAAAAAATATATATATATAAGCTCTGGTGGACTTGGTTCTATGGTAGGTCTTAAAGGGTTAAATAAATATCGTCAAATAATCGTGATCTCAATTTCAGTGAAAATAATCGTGATTATCATTTTTGCCATAATCGAGCAGCCCTAATTGGAACTAGAAGTAAGCCTGCACACTGAGAGTGAAGGTCTCTGTTGGGATACATCACACCAGTGTGTGAATGGGTGGATGACTGGATATGTAAAGCGCTTTGGGGTCCTTAGGGACTAGTAAAGCGCTATATAAATACAGGCCATTTACCATTTACCATTTTTACATCTTTAAGATATTCCTGAATGAACTTCAAGTATTGATTGTTTAATCTGATCACAAGAATTTCAAGCTTAATTCGATGGGTAAGTGGTGATGCTTAACCACATCGATGCCCAGTGCATTTTCTGTGCAGACCATCCTCTGTGTTATATTATTTATTTGATTTCCCTTGAATTATCTGCTCTTCCACAGACGTGGGAACTGGATTACTTTGAAGCTGAAGAAGCTGATGAAATCCAATAGCCGCGAGCATGGGCCTGAACGCCCACCCACACCCACACACTCAGGCGTTCCTGAGCCTCAGCTCTCCTGTCACGACAACAGTTCTTTCATCAGCTCAAATGGCTCTGGAGGCTCAGCCTCCACATCAGCATGTGATGCCATCTCACCCCAACGTAACAGCAGTGAGTATTTCCTTCTCAAATTCAAAAGATCATCATCAGAGCTGAAACATGCAGATCATACAGGTGCGTTCATGTAAGATCCAATTCACAGCCACTGTACAGAGATGCATGAATGAAGTGACGGACAAATCAGGTCCATGTACATCTACGTGTGAAGGACGCTCATCTTCCCAGAATTTGACAAAAAAGCCATTTTCTGCCTTAAGATTTTCCATCAAGGTGCGAAAGCTTAAATAAATATGTGTATTTTAAACTAAACCTGTTTCCACATCATTTATATGTGCATTTTGGTAACTATACATATACCAATGGCAGTGTGTGAACAAACTAGTTATCAGTAACTCAGAAAGAAAACTTACAGAAGCATACTTAGTGTATTAAAAATCAGAGTATGTTGTGTGTGTTTCATGTTCAAAGCATCATTCTTTCCAGTGCATGAGGTGTGTCAAGTTTCTTGAGGAATCCTCAGTATTTCTCCCCTTTGTCTTTCTCTTGTCTTTATATTTTTATTCACTCCTCCCAACACCCTCGGCTCTCTTTTCCCCTTGTCTTTGCCCTTCCTACTTCTCCCCTCTCTTTCTTTCCCCTTACTCTCTGCTGGCATCCACACCCTCCCTTCTATCTGTTCTGCGTGTCTCCCATGTGGTCACTCTTAAAAAGCCACTCTGAAAATGTTTCCCCGTATGAGGAACCGGCTGAAGGACAGAGACAAAGTCAAGTCCCTGTTTCGGCGTTCCATATGTAAGAAAGACTGTGGTCCGTTGTCTGGCTTCATCTTGCCCTTTTTACTTACTTCAGTAATTCCAACAGCTTTGTGCTTTATGCTTTTTTAATGCTAGCATACCACTAACTCATATCTGATTTGTCATTGTCCCCAAGTTCTAAAATAACTGGGTAATGTGTTAGCAGTGTGGACATCATTGGCAAACTCATTTCACCAGCCTAATTTAAAGTTATTTGTTATGATATTGCATGTTCTTGCAGATACAGGCTGCTGCAGGACTTATTTTCTAACAGAGTGGCTATATTTGGAACAGTGTGGGGTATTTTATTAGAACCACAGAGGTCAAAGAAATGCTGCATTGCAGGAAGAGACTTTTGTGGCAGTAGCTTTGTAATCCCAGGCTGCAGTGAAAGCGAAACAGATTGAGATTATAATGTAAAAGCTCCATCCTTTACATCTGTTTATATAGTGACCACACTACTGGAAAAAAAACCCCTCATAATCTTCACAGCCATTTCATCTTTCTGTTCCTTTACGTCATCCACATCCCACTTCTTCCATTCTTTCATCCAACAATGAAGCCCTGAGCAGCTTAGTCTGTCCCTCGCCCCCATTAGAGGTAAACTGCTTGCCTGACAGCTCAGTACAGCTGGAAGAGTCAGAAGCTGATGTGGAGGAAAGCAGGAAAGACCCACTGACCTCATCATTTACCGACTCCATCTCGTCCATCCTCCCCCTTCCTCATACCACCACTCTGCCATCTGTCCATCTCGACAGCACCACCACTGACATTGTTCCAGATGTTTCTGAGTTGACAGGTAGAGGCATCCATTAACTAGTGTTTGTTTTGTTTTTGTTTTTTCTTTTGTTAATTTTAATTGATTATATAGTAAAATAAAGTGCAGAGTAATTGAATTAAAACACTGTCACGCGCTGTTCTTGCCTAAGCATAGAAAAGTGTCATTCACACAATAATTGTTTTATTCTTTGCCCCACAGATAAGCATTCAAATGACAGCAATTTGCCATCTGGACTTGAGGACAATGATGAGCTGCAAAATCACGGTAAAACCTTTGGGATACTCATTTAGAGGATTCAACAAACATGCAGGAATTAAGACTAAATCCATCAAATCGCAATCATGACCTTGTTTCATATTAATCTCTATGTTGATCCTTAGTGCCAGCAACTGTTAACTGCTGCTCCCTATTGGTCATTTAGCATATCAAGGTGAAAGAGCAGAGAGATGTTTTTTAAAATGATTTTCATATAAATTTTAGCTCTGAAAAAACATTGTAATCTCTTTTCAGGGCTGAATTGCGCTGAGAGCAGGGCCCAAAGTGAGAGCAGTGTTGAGTTCAACCTGAGCCTGGAGAATGAGCCGTGGTCAAATGGAAGCAGCCCTGTCCAGCACCCTCCGTCACGTCGTTCTTCCTCCTCCTCCTATCAACCACCCAGTGATGCCTCAACCCCCCTGCACACAAAGCAGCAGCACAAAGAGAAAGCCTCTACCATGCCCACTGCTAACAGTAAGATTTCAGATATCCAATGTGAACCAAAACAGAGAGATCCTGTTCTGCCTCAGGACTTCTGGCTTAGAAGGGGCACAAAAAGTATTCGAAGAGGGTCAAGGGGGAAGATGACAAGGCGCGCATCAGATTCAGGAGGTACAGGCAAAATCAATCCAGGACTCAATGGGATGAATCCTAAACTGAGCACAAGCAAAGTTGAAACTACCAAAGCCTCTGCTTGTTCACCAATCACAGTGTTGTATGTTCAGGGCAAGTCATCCTCAATGTCTGGCTGCCTCAACTGCTTCTCTTCCCCGATGGGAAAAGAAGGGCGACTTAAAGGGCCGTGGTCTCCCAAAAGTCTCCCTCGCGCAAGCAGTGTCATTTCAACAGCAGAGGGCTCGTCCCGACGATCCAGTGTCAGCAGTGACTACAAGGTGATAGTCAAGACTGACCTGGTCCCTGTCCAGGTTTCAGAGTATTCAGAGAGCAATATTAAGGAAGAAGCAGCAAGCCCGAATCAACAACCAGAGCCAGAGATTAAGAACAGTGAGCCTGCGCCCATTCCTCCTGTCAAACCTCCAAGAGACCCAGCAGCTGTGCAGGAGCCACTTTTTGACTCCTCATTCACTTTCAAATCTGTCTTTTCCAATACAATCTTTGGTGATTCTGTGGTTACCACCACAACTAGTCTAGATGGGCTTGACACCAACCGAACCGTCCTCTGTCAAAATTCACCTCTGGATCAAACCTGTTCACGAGAAATCTCAAAATCTGTCGAAAACACACCGCAAACAGTTCTTAATATGGCAGATGAGCAGAGTCAAAATCCAGAGCATGCAGCTGGGCTGGAAGGGAAAGACGAGCAGCTCACAGTTGCATGAAAGCAGCCGTCACTGTCACATCACTGTACAATTAGTCACTCAAATAAAGCAGGTGGCTATGAAGCAATTATTCATCACAGCACACAAGGATTTTAAGCAATCAGTATGTTTGCACTGTATTACACTGGCTACCTAAGTACATAACTCTTATAAAAGTGTGTTCAATAAAAAGACATTCTGATATTTTTTTTACATTGCTTTAGTAATCAACCTGAGCAGCAGATCAAAAGTGTTACAGTATTATTTACACGTTGGTTATTGTTTTGCACAAATGATGTTTAATTTCATTCAGTGATACGTAGATAGATCTCCTGTTTAACCTCTAATTAATTAGATTTATGCGTGTCATTCAGACCTTAGCCATACTTGTAAATATATTCGTGTTTGCCAAAAATATTGTATTCATTTTTGTAACTTCTATTTATGTTCTGTTCCTCATACACGAGTTATAACTTATTATGCACTGCTTTTAGAGTCTCTTTTATTTTGTATTTGAATCTGAGGTGGGAAGTGTTGCTCATATGTAAGACGTGTGTATATCTTCTACTACGTGAACGCTATTTTCCCTTAAATAAAGAAACCTGTGCAAAATGTGAAAAATTTTTGCTCGTCATTCTTTTGTAACCTGGGCCCGCCCCGTGTTCTTATTGGATGGGAGATCAGTCACGTGAGGACATGCGGAACTAGACCATTTTCGGTCGAAAAGCAAAACATTCGGGGGTGGTGAATTGAGTGACTCAGTCTGCTGTAACGTTACGCCGACCTGCTGGAGTGGTTTCATAAACTACGCCGTATAAGTCGACTGTTATACCCGGGGTTTGGCACGATGCTGAGCGCCGCCGCCGCGGAAAGGAACAAGGAGCCCATCCTGGCGGTGCTCCGGGATAGTGTGCACACCGGGAGACCCCTGCTGGCTCTGGAGATCTCCTCCGGTACTGGGCAGCATGTCACACACTTTGCTCAGGCCCTGCCGAATATAACCTGGCAGCCATCTGAGTATGATCGCCAGTCTATAGTCAGGTAAACAAGAGATGTGTGCATGCGTATAAACTATGAAATACAGATAATATACTGGGACATCTGTGCACCTATATTAGCTGTTAATATCCAAGAAACGTTAGTGTTAATATTTATCTCTTATATTTATATCTGTTTTTTATTCATCTATTTATATCTGTGTTTATAATCGTACTTTTTATATACGATTGTTTTGTTGTATGTTGAATGAGAACTCATATTTCTCCTCGGGTCAATAAAGTTTCTCTGATCTGATCTAATGCAGGAAATTATAATTAATTAATTAATTGTGTTTTCACAGCAGTTCTTATCTGATGGAAAGTTTTATGCTTCGTCTTTCTAATACCACTCTACCTGCTCCAGAATGATGGCCTGGAGGGTTCCCATAATGTCTTTTGTTTCCATTAGTATAGAAGCATATAGAGCCCGCTACCGGCTGAACAATGTGAAGCCTGCCATCCACCTGGATGCTTCTCTGCCCTATCAATACTGGGGAGGAATCCAGCCAGAGAGCCTCGACCTGGTGCTCAACATCAACATGATCCATATTTCTCCTTTGGCTTGTACAGAGGTAGGACTGCTGATTCAGTGGTTCTCTCAAACTGTGTGGCATGGAGCCACTACTATAGGCATGGAGGACTAAGGGGAAAATGGAGTGATATGACTTATGAAGAGAAAAAAACAAAACAAAGAAACGTTTGATAATGCCATCTCGTTTTCCACTGATATTCAACTTGAATATTTTATTATTTCTCTTAATTAAAAAAATAGGGGTCTGGGATTTTGATGATTTTTCAGCCTGTTCACCACTTAAGTGAACTGTTGTCTCTGGGTTTATAAGAAAGCACCTTACAAAATAACAAAAAATGCTAAAACTTTAAAACAAACAGTTACTCAAAATCAAGTTAAAAACTATGAGTTTTTAGCTGTTTTTAATAGAGATCCCTGAGTCCACAGATCTCAGGCTCAGAGGGAGAGTTCCAGAGTCACCGTTACAAAAGCTCTGCTTCCTTTAGTTCTCAGCCTTGTATGATGCACATCCAACAGGTCCTGATGACATGACCTTAGGGACCTGCTGTGGTCATATGGATTTATAATTTAATCCTATGGACCTACAAAAGGATCATAAGTTAAAATGTGGTTGATTCCTTTATTATTAGTAGTAGTAGTAATATCGATGTATTTTGTCCTTTTCAAATGCATATATAAACACATTTCTACTAAAGAAACTCAGCACAATTCCTGAAAGGAGAAGCCTAAATTGCTAACATAGTCAAGACATTTTTCATATTTGCTTAAACTGCCTCTTTGTAACCTTTGTTGAAAAGAGACCCCTGTGACCACGAGTGGTGTAATAGTAACCTAAATGTAGAAGGCTCTCAATCTCATACATACCAGCCGCACAACACATTGACGTTAGCTGTAACTGGCTACTATGAAGTGAGGTTCAGTTATGATTAAAGCTGTAGCAGCAAAACTGTTTTGCTTCATTTTGTGATTGTTTTAGATCAATAATTTGCTATTTCTACTATAAAATTCACCTCGTTTGGCTTGACATTGTACTCATTGGCCCTGATATTTATGGTGCCATAAGTGTAAATAATACCAACTGAAGTATGCTTGCACCACAACTCTTCAGATAATCACTTTAAACCTGCTTCTGCACAATATCTGCCTCACTTATTTCAATAAAACAGAAACCAAAAACAAAATGTCCTCCTGCCTGCGATGTGGTTCTTAAGATGTTATCTTCTCTTAGGGTTTATTCAGAGGGGCTGGAGTAATGTTGAAATCTCAGGGCCTTCTACTGACTTATGGGGTGAGTAGCAAAACGTTTGGTGTCACAAAACATGACATAGATCACAAGCCATTATCAAGTCTAAACTTAACGTGTAATAGTGACATGTTTTATTGCTTTTCTCAGCCGTATGCAGTGAATGGTCAGATCGTCCCTCAAAGCAATGTGGACTTTGACTACAGCCTACGGCAGAGGTAATGGCATCTGTATTTTCTGGCTCTTTTACAGTTTTGTTTAAGCCAGTCATCTTACGAGGAGGCTTCGGTCGTGGATTGCCTGTCAGAACTACCAGAACATTTCCTGTTGGCCCACGGTTTTTAGCCTGCTGTGAAAAGTAAACCTGAGCAGTGATATTATAGGTCAACAGGAGTAAAGGCTCAGAATTCATGCATCATTTGCGACTCTGTCACTCTTGCTTAAATACACTGCTTTCATCACAGCATCTGAGATAGGGTGTGATAATTGACAGTCAAAAGAATGGTGGACGAGAGAGGATGAGAGTAAAAGGAGATGCAGCTAAATGTTCAGAAATAAGTGTTTGTTGATGGTCTGACTGCTGATACAAGTAGCAGATGAATTCTGAAGCGTACAGGGCTCTACTCGTCTCAGATTCATCCAAGCGATACAAAACTGATTGGACAGCACTTGACAGTGGAAATGGTTAATGAATTAGATCATACTGCGTTAGACGTTAGATTTTTTTTTCAGTGGGCTAGGCCTTCACTTAATCTCAACCCACTTAAGTATGTTTTTCATCTACTGAGGACAACACAGTAAAGTAAAAGTGTGGCAGACGATGTCCAGGGAAGAAACGCAACATTTGACGATTTCTATGGGTTCTTCAGGTTCTTTCATCAAAACAACAAAAACAACACTTAATATAAAACTGTTTAATATGAAGCTTGTCTAATGACAATACATATATATGTGTGTGCGTGTGACCTGCATTTGTGAATTGTGAACCCTTATTGTACTTACTAGTATTGATATTTGTGATATTTAAAAATCAAATGTTAGATGTCATGTTATTAATATGAATAACTCTTCCATTTGCACAGCTTTTGTAGAGATGTGGATCAGAATTTGTCCACCCTCCCACACTCTTATTTTGAATGTAATTCATTTGCCAGATAGAGACAAAATACACTGCTGACAGCACTGCTGTTCTGTTTAAAATAGTGTAGTGAGCCAGTAACATGCTGCAACAGAAAAATAGGATTCTTGTTTCTTGGTAGTAAGGGGTATATCCAGATTGCTTAGGACTCAAAAGTAGAGAAAATATATATTATTCTTTTCAGAATTTGCTTTTGTTACAACCATTAACTTGTAACTGATTTATGAATAAGAAGAATAGATTTTTTCTACCTTTTAAGCATAAGCAATCAGGATTTAACACTTATTACACAGGAAGAAACACTGTGTTATATAGCGTAATATCAGTAAAGGGAATTCTTTGGGGGTTTACTGTCATAGTGAAGATGACAGTGAAAATTTGGCGGCAGCCCTAAATAACACATGGATAGTCTATTGTTTCTGTGTGAGCAAAGTGTCTTGAGAAGGAGTCGGTTTGACGGCCTGAATTATTGTGTCAGTTTGCTCATAGAAGGCTTTACACAGTATATTTAAAATCAACTAAGATCATCATAGTCTTTTGAAAATGTTTTTCCTTAAGCACACAGTAGAATTAATAAACTTGTATAATTTGTGAAGCCAAACTCACAAAATACATGCAAAGAAAAAATTTTGATTGTTTTTGTAATTACATAATAAAGATAAGCAAAAGTGACCAGGGGATTTTAAAAAATGTTGTTTAATTTTGCAGAAACCCAGAATGGGGACTCAGGGATATCTCGCTCCTCAATTCTCTGGCACAAAGCAATGGTTTGTACCTGGAGAGAATAGTAAGTAATGAACCCATTTAAGCAACCAGCATATCTTAAGTCAGCATGCAAAATATGAGAACAGTTTTGTAGTATACTGATTTACTGATGCCATTTTTTTTTCAGGTGGACATGCCAGCAAACAACAAATGTCTTCTTTTCAGGAAGGAAAGTTTGGTGTGAAGCATCCTGATGCAGGATGGTCAAAATGCCTTAACTTGGAGCTCAGATACATTGCCAAATTTTCAAGAGCCGTAAACGGATCATGTTTTCTCCACATTTTAACACATGCTGGTATTAGATTAACTAAGTTAATGTAAACTGTTGTGCTCAAACCTATAACCTATATTCTTATGTATTGCACATGAGTTAAATTAATAAATCTCACAAACACATTGCCTTTGTGCTATATATTCTTTAAGACAATGGCCTATTCTTTTTTTTGTTTTGTAAGTGTGAAACTGACTTAGCAGAAGTGCTTTGAAGAGGGAAAGATTAAGAGAATATACTGTACTTTATATGAAATAAAAGACATTTTTTATGAAACAAAGATGGATAAACTAAAGTGAAGAGCAGAAAAAAATAACATTAGCAAAAGTACGGTAATTATAATACAGATGTCTATTTGTTTAGTATTACAAGCTAGGGATGTTTGCAACATGATCAACATGTGTGTCTGTTATCTTGGCTGCTGTTTTCACAATGCAAAGTTCACAAATAAGAAAATAAATCTTAAACCTATTTGAAAACAGCAATTTAGCATTAGTATTAATACAATGGGAATCAACACATCTGGAATGTTATTATATCTGTGTTGGAATAAAAAAAAAAACTCTCATACCTACATCAGCATGCAGTATTTAACTTGTTCTACTCTGTTTTGATAAATAGTTATTAAATATCAGCTTTTCTGTTGCAGTTCTGATGCTTGTCTTCATTTCAAACACATACATCACTAAAACCCATCTGTGGACAGAACGAGTCTAAGTCATAGTAAGGTGTCACAGGCCTTTTTACCCAGAGCATCATGCAGCTTTTTCAGCCTGCGTTCATTTATGGCTCTTACATAGCTGTCTGAGTGGATGATAGCCATGCCGTCCTGCACCATACCCATCACCAGCAAAGGGTTTTCCTCAACAGTGATGTTGGGACAGGGACAGCTCCAGTCTATCTTAGCAATAGTCACCTCCAAATGTTTGGTATTGAAGAAAGTCAAGCCCATCTTCTCGTCCCTCAAGACTTCTTCCAAGCTAAAACGGGCTAACCCAGAGTCCAGATCCTCAACAAGCTCTGTCAGTCGGCCCACAATAGCAAAGTCACTGCGGCATAAGCTGGGCACCATTTTCCCCTTCACACGACAGGTCTTGCAAGGCTTCCTTTTTGGTTGCGGGCAGTTGGCCTCACACTCCTTTTTGGTGTGGAAGTTGTTAGCATTCCCATGGCAGCCACCATAGACAAAGGCTTGGCACTGTTTTGTTATGGAATTCCAGGACCAGCGTGCCTCCCAAGCTTTACAGGGACCTTGAACAGCAGGCAGAGAGCAGATCCCCATGTCTTCTCTCTGGCAAGAGGCTTTGCACTCCTCATAAGTCTCAAATCGGTTTCGGCTGTCTTCGCATCCACCACTGCTAAACGTCACACAGGAGCCCAGCTTGCTGTCATAATACCAGTCAACATGACGCTCTCCACTGCACACACTCAGGTCGACTTCCGCCAGGCAATCTGCTGGAGAGAAAGGCCGTCCCATGGGCATCTCAGGATCTTCAGAGAAGTCATCATCTGACCGGCGAATAACAGACAGAGGATAGTCTGCGCGAAGAACTCCTGCAGAATTCCGTGCTATACAGGTGTAGATGCCGGTATCCCAAACCTGGGCGTTATAAATTACTAGCTGTCCAATATTGGTTATAACCACATTGCCATACATCTGATCAGGCCTCATGACAAGGCGTTCACGCCGGTCACTTTGCTTTTCCCATGTTACATCTGGTCTAGGGACTCCAATGACATCGCAGTGGAAGTTGACTGTGCCTCCAACATAGATGGACTGGTGGTGAGGGTTGGAGTACAGCGTGGGAGGCATGGGATCCTCCTGGGAGGATGTTGGGGTTGGGTGAACTGTAGTGTCTTGAGGCAGGGGGCTGGTGGGGGGGCCAGCGAGGTAGAATCGACAGGGGACCACAGTTAGAGTCACCCCCCGGATGCAAGCTTCTGCATCCATATAGCAGCGGTTGAAATAGGTGAGGCCATCCGATGCACAGGTGAAGTTGGGTTCCTTCTCACACCGATCCTGGCACTTACAGATGGGCTGTCCATCCCAGATGTCACAGGTTGCTCCCTGCTGGCTGCAGATAAAGCCCTCACAGGTAGCTGTGGAGGCGGAGGTAGCATCACCGTTCCCTTCACCCTGTTCATGTGGCAGAGCAGGGGTGCCATCAGAGAAACGAGCAGCAACACAACTGTTGAAGCCGCACACATTGGTGCAGCATTTCTCAAAGTCAGCACAGTCCTGAACGTACAATATAAAAAACAATAAGCATTTTAACATTTAAATGAACAAATCGCAAAATGCTGTGATGAATAAAATTAAAATTCATAGATTAACTCACCTCATCGATGTCGCATTCCCTCTCACATGTGCTTTGTGCATCAACCCAAAGATTAGCGTTCAGCTTGTTTGGACAAAATCCTTCGTGTTCAACTTTGGTTCCTGCCACACTTTCACACAAAGAGACCTCGAGTAAATCGCAAAAAAGGAGAGTCAACAAATATGCACGTGTCCATCGTACTTTGCTTGAGTTTGGTGCACTATGGCAATTTGCACCCTTTATATGGCTATCCGCGAGGAACTGTAGGGGAAAATTACGCATATTTGACCTTTTGTATGAGTAGACCACCAAGTAATTCCATTCCAACTTTGGGTCTTCACAACAGGAATACGATTATTGTCGATTTTCAAATGCGTCCGCCCTTTTTGTGCGTAAACGTGCGCTGAGTCACTTTTCTTTGCGCAGAGAGAAAAGTTGTATTCCCAATGATCAACACGAGTTCCCGTGCGCTGGACATTAAATTACCCAAATGTTTCAAAGTAATAAATAATAGGCTGTGTAAAATATTCGCCTTGGTAATCAAAACTTGTGCAATACTGAGGAAAAATCGACGTGTGTTTTGTCGAGCAGCTAGACAAACGAGCTGAACTGCACAATGAGCGGACAACGCAATATCAGCTTTTCAGCGTGAGAATGGAGGTGGAAAGGGCAGTCCCTCTATCCGCCCCCATGGTCGTCCAGTGTCTCAAACTTTTATGAAGCAGCACTATGCGCTAAGCAACTGGACAAACATTGTAAAAACATCAAAGAAAACGTGTAGTCGTGGTTTCAAGCTGTCTCACCATGCGTGCACAGACATACACATTCCGGTGAGAAATCCAATGTTAAATGTGTCCAGACAGAATTTATAGAGATGGCAATTGTAAAAGAAAAAGGTTAACTTGCTGTTTAATTTCACGAGAGCCGGTGGTTATTGTTCTTCTTCTTTGCTTTTTTGTAAGTTACATTCAGATGTTATACACGTTATATTTAAGCAGGTTCCGTGCACAAATGAAAAGGAGAAAAATGTAATAAGTCGTCGGTGGCGCAAGGCGGAAAGCGTGAAAACCAAACACGGGGCGTGTCGCATCATGTCTCGCAAAACATGTTGTTCACGTCCTCCTTGTCTAGACTTGGGTCAGTTTACTACCATCCCTCATTCACGCGGAGTTCAGAGATGCCACGGTCAGGTGGGAAGACATAAAGCGCCACATTTTCATCTGTGTGCGAATCATCTTTGTCTCGCTCCAGCTCAGGGGCAATGAGAAGCAGCTCCCCTCGTCTTTTCATTGGAAATGACCCTGCAACCTTTGGGTGACATTTGACCGCTGTGCATTCATGCGCTCCTAGCCATGTTAGACCAATATCCAAAGCTGGCCAATACCAAGAGAGCAGCTAATCAATTCAACCCCCCCACGGGATTTAATGCCTCTGACCTGACAAAGAGGACAAAAATACTCCCACAATTCCCACAATGAACTTGATAAATGTCTGAATGAAAAATTTCCCCCCAATCTAAAGCACACAATAAATGAAAATAGAAATGCAACTTAGTTTTACTCTTTATTTTGACTGTTTTTGATGGAGATAAAATAAGAATTAAGGCTTCATCCCAATACACAGCGCTGATAGCAACAATCATTATCAAACATTTACATATAGTGCTTTAGATGTTCACCCAAGAGTTGTTAATCCATTGTTCTGGTCTCAATAAATCACATAGAACAGGAGCCAATAGCAAACATGCACCAATTTTTGTAGGCCCCCCATTAGCCGAATACATGTATTTAACCATGAAAATGCTGAAGTGGGAATTCACCAATGTTCTTTGAACGTGGAACAAAAATAAGAGTACAGATCAAAATTAAAATATTTGTTTAGATTGTTCAATTAATAAAAGAAAATATCAGTAGCCATGGTTAAAATACTTAACATCCTTTCTGAAATCTTTATCCAACCTTACATTGTGCTCGCATTATATCCACAGCACATCTGTAAAGAACGACTGTAAGTTCTTCTAGTATTCACACACATTTAACAATGCTGGGAAACTGCAGAAGTGCAACCAAATGTATGAAACTACTAAAGAATATTCCAACCACCAATTATTACAATCTCAAATATAACCACATGGCCATAGAAATGTAGGTGAATACTGTTTTACATTCAGAAATACATATCATGTATATAAAATATCTGCAAAGCAACCAAATTAAAAGATTCTTCTCACCAACGCCCGTTACAAGTTATGAAATATTAAGAACCAAGACACAAATGTTTAATGTTTTTTAAGATTAAACCCCCAAAATGAGCAAACAATCTGTACATGTTTTTGTACAAGGTTTCCTAATGAGCACAGAGCAATTGTTTAATAAGTTAACAGATTAAAACTGATCACGCTCTGGAAGGTTTAATCCAGTTAAGCAGTGATCCAAGAAAGAAAACAAGCTTTAGAGGTGTAAAATGTCAGAGCAAGTAAACAGTTGTCTGAAAAAATGAGTGATGGAGATACAGGATTATTTCAATGGGCTGAAATTTAAGTCTTGCCAACAAGCCAACTTGGCTTGAATTTTTTCAGACAGTTTTACAGATTAAGTAATGCCTCGACTAACATCATCTCTCAGTTAATAAATCCTAAATTCTCTTTAAGCCCTTGGCTGCTTGTAAAAAGATTTTCTCATGACATTCAATCTTATTTTAAAAACTATGTGAATTTTGAATAAGTTATGACAACTGAGGCTGGAAAAAAATGTCAATGATAGACAACACTGAAGCAGGTCTCCCCAAAACATTCAAAACAAAACAAGCATAAGAAATTCCTTCCCAAGACAATCACCACAGAACAAAACAAGAGCACGTAATGTATTTACAGTTTCAAGTCAGATTTTAAATACCAATAAACCTTAAAAAAGAAGCCCCTCTATTTGTTTGTAGTGTTAACCGGTGAGTTGTAATCCTCGATTCACATGTGTTGGTCCCAGGGGAATCTTATTCTACTTGATCACAGTGAGTTGCTGTAGTAGAGTACAGGTAAACGAACATCCACAAGATGGCACCAGCACGCGGAAAGAGATAACAGAAACCAACCATCCAAGTCAGTTCCCAAAAGGTCAAGGAAAGTTCACAGCTATATCCATTGCTGGCAGGCCTCCGTACTTTTCTCTGGCCTCATGACCTCTTGGAGCAACAACACTTTTAACACTGGCTCTATATAGGAACCATCAGTCTGCTCTTTCACTATGATATCTTACAGTTTCCTTTAGGGGACAACGACGAGCTCTTTGGAGGACTCTGTGGAGGCCTGAAGGACTTTGAGCGCTTCAGGCTGTTAGCTTTGCTTCCACCACCGCTACCACCTGAGGCGGCACTGTTAGCCACAGAGTAAGAGCGTCCATGCATCATGACTGCATTCATGCCATTGGCCATGGAGAAAGACTTGAGGTGGGACTTGATGGCCACAGGGAGGGGAAGTTTGTCAATGAGGTGCACCGGTGTGCAGGAGACGATAGAACGGCAGCACAGATCTTGCAGACTGAAGACTGTGGAAACACAGGAATATGGATGAGCACGTGTCAGAGATCTGCAGTACGTATTAAGGTTTTTCATTGTATCCATCAAATTTACTAAGCAAGAGAATATTCTGCGTAACAAGAGATAGTATTAAAGATTTTTACTCCTGCAAACTTCAGTGTAAACTGTGAACATACATAAACCAGACAATTCTGAGTAGTTTACCCAGAATTAGTATCTTAACTAAGAATACTTTTAAAATAATAATCTTATATTTTCACCATTTGCGAAAAAACACACTTGTGTTGTCATGACATTCAAAAAAACAAACAAACAACTACATAAAATTTAATTATGTAAATGAGAGTATAGTTAATAAAACAAAAACTGTACAATAGAGAGCGTTTTAAATACAACATAAATAAAAATCTTAGTTTTCTTATCACAGAGCGAGCTTGATTTATGTAGGGGCACAGTAGAGACTACCCCGCAGTAAATGCTATGAAAACTATTGGCAGAAATGCAGACTGCAGATGACAATATAGAGATCACTTCTTAAGTCTTATCTCTTCTGCCTTTGAGGAAAATTAATGGCTACCTAATATTTATTAGGTCCAAGTCCCTACGATAAGCAGAGTTTCACCTTTGATCAAAAAAGTAATCCAGACACAAGTATAAATGCAAACAATGATGATGTCCACTACAGTGTATGATGTTCTGGGATTCAACACAGGATTCAGTACTGAAACTGATTTATTCACATCTGAGTAACAGAAGAAGAAATCTTGCAGCAATGCATCTACATGATCCCCTTTCTGGAAGGATTTGTGTAACTATTACACAAAGAAAAACAAAACAAAATATGTTTTCTCCCAAGTCTGGTTAGAAAAAAATAAATAAATAAAAATATAGTAACGTAACCAGCTCACCTCTATTGGGCCTCCAGAATTTCTCCATCCCATGCCTCATCAGCACGATGCGTGAAAGCTCTGTGAAGGACTCGATGACGTTGAAGTTGCAGAGCGGACTGACCTCGAAGAATGTCATGCTGTTCTTTTCTGCGTAAGCTCGTGCCTGCTCCGTTGGAACCTGCCGCTTGAAAGCCAAGTGAAGCCGGTTTCCCACAAGAATCCGGGGCACACCTGGGGCATGCTGAAGGAAACAATATAATGTCACTGTAAAACTCGACCTGTAATGTGATACATGTGGACCAACATTAATAGTGGGTGCTGCAGTGATAGGCTAACTGTTGCTTGCATGCTTGGATAAAACACTGTCTGGAAGTTCCACAGATTTACAAACCAATGAGACAGATGGTTTGTTACACAGAACCATCGAGGAGACATCCATCTATTGTAAAACCTAAAGACGTTATTATCTAGGTCCTCATAATTAACTCAACTGCCCACATCAACTGTGATTTGGCAACAAGTACATGGTTTTCAACAAGGGTTCTCTCTGGACCACCCTTACAAGGTAATAATTTAAAAATCTACACACAAATTCAAAAGTATTTTCAAACCAGGTTTCTTTTAATTGCTTGAAATGCAAGTCACTTTCTCTCCAGTCCAGTTGAGTTGTGAAATATCGGTCCCATTACCACAGGGTTTTGCTGAAAATCATGTAATGATGTCGTTGCTGTATCATCAGTCAAGTTGGGTTGTGAAACGTCCGCTATATTACCACATGGTTTTGCTGAAATACTGGTTTGTTTAAGCTTGAGCTACATTAAAGTTTTCTTCAATTGAAAAACTTAATAAATAAATACGTTACGCTGTCATACCCGTCATCAATGCAGAGACTGAGATAGATGGCCTTGTCAGTGCTGCTCGTTTTCCTAAAATTCATTTTTAAATTTGCCTCTCTTTTTTTTTTAATTACCAATATATGTGAAGTTAATTTTGGCGCCTAGTTGCCTGAGGTTAAGGTTTGTTGCTGGCACTTGCATAACAGACAGTACATAAAGTACACACTATTAAAAGAGGTTGTAACAATTTGCCTACATAACTGAAACTGAAATGTTTATAAACAGCGCTCTGATACACACTCTGTACCAGAGATTAAAAAAAGATTTTCTCACACAGGGGACATCATGCATCTATATGTGCTTCCAGTATTTCTTTGTACTCCAGAGATTAGCTGAAGGAAATTACCTCATCAATTTCTCTGATCCAACGGTCAATGCCATCAAATGACCAGCCATTCGTGATGTCATACACCAGCAGGATGCCCTGTAGAAGAAAAACATTTATTGATTAACATAAATATTGAATTCCACAATAAGGAAAATATATATATATATATATATTTCTAATGGCTTTTCCAGTCACCTGTGCTCCACGAGAGTAAGACCTGAAGATGGTGCAGAATCTGCCTTGTCCTGATGTGTCCCTGTTGAAGAGGCACATAAGCACAAGCTAGAAAAATAGGCCTACTCCAGGTTTGTTCATTTCTACAGCCATTACCAGCTTAAAACACTCTGCAGAACTCTTGAAATGCCTCTTATTTCCAAGAGAGATGGGAAATGGATGCAGTGATTTTTTGTAAAGTGCATACATGGAAATACAGTGTATAATATAATGAGTTTGAAAGTCAACGTTTGGCATAACCACCTTTACTCTTAAACATAGCCTGAACTCTCTTAGGGAGTATTCTTGTAATTCCTTTAGTTCAGGTATAGTTCTCCAGGCTTTTTAGGAACATCCCAAAGCTCGTCTTTGGACGCTGGCTGCCTTTTGTTCATTTCTATGTCAACATGATCCCACACTGGTGATGACAATTTGAACAAAACATCTACATTAATCCCTCCATGAGTCTTGTTGGCATTGATTTTTAGTGCAGTTCTTGTGTAATTTGGCACACACCAGCTTTATCTCCCTGTTTTCCTGACAGCCACTCTTCCACTAAGCCCATTTCAGAAGAGGTTTTGGTGTAAAATAAATGGATCAACTGAAAGGCCAAATGCATATATCATGTGATGTGTCAGGTCTTTGCTTTCTACTTATTTCTTAAAGACATAACTTTCAGATATTGTTCATCAGGTGAAAATACTTTTTAGGCCTGCTACTCCTTGTTTTGTCCTGCACTGGTTTAACTTCCTGAATTTTTTAAAGAAGTACTACACAACATGCTCCGATATGCAAGGTTTTCATCTAATCACTTTTGGAACCACCTTGTTGGTGAGAAAAATACTACTGTATGCTTGTCAAAATGTATTCTCTTTGGCATTTTTGGTAGATTACTAAAGAAATTGATTAAATTCTGTGTGTTTTGCAACAGGCTGCTAGTTTTAAAACGTGTTAAAGATACAATTTAAAATCACTTCTTTAGCAAGTTGTCTGTTGTGGAGACAACATTAGTCCAACCATTTAGTTAAAAGTCTTTTTAATGCTTGGATGATTCATAAATCAGTTTTAAATGGCTTGACATACAAAACAACAACAACAACAAACACAAAACAAAACAAAGAACAACATTCCTCTAAAAATGTGCAGGCACAAGGAGTGGAATAAACACGAGTGAAAAAGCAGCCAGTGTTAAAAGAAAACTTTGAAAGACCTGCCAGAACTGAGGGGTTGCTCAATAATTTTTCCTCATTAATATTCTTAATATTATATATTTATGTTAAAATAGTAATAATAAAAATAAAGAAATTAAAAACTTACCATAGCTCAAGTTTCACTCTCCTCCCATCCAAAAGAATTGTGGTGGTCTTGTAATCAATTCCTAATATCACACATAATCCAACACAAATCACATTACCGTTGGTCATATTTGGCTTTAAAGTCATCTCAAAATAATAAAGAAAAATCGATATTGATATTTACCACTGCTATACGCATAGGGAGACTCTACTGATCCGTCTTGCAAGCTGTCCAAGATTTCCCCCTTTCCAACATCGCTGTCTCCAACCAATAGAAATTTCAGGAGATAATCGTAGCTCTTGACAGGACTACTCTGAGTCCCCATCATCCCACGCATTGGTTCCGCTTTACAGAGAGCCTTTTAAGCTCACCAGGCATCCACTGGAGAAACCAAGCAGTCCCCGAGTGTGGTACCGAAGGGAAGACGACCGCGGCTGGGCTTAGCTAATGAGTTAGCTTGTGCACTACTTACGATTTAAGTTAACTATTACCTTTTACTTCGCACACACTTTGAAAAATGCAGCTATTTCGTTATTCCACTGAATGCAATGGAAAAACAACCCCGCGATTTAGCACTAGAACCCCAATTTAGTTCCTGTTGATGTAACGTCAATATTAACTGATCTAAACAACCACGGGTGCTAGCTGGCTTGTTAGCTAGCCAGTTAACAAAAACGACAGTAACGCATTCTACTACAAACTACAAGTACAAAACAAAAACGACTCTGTTTTGTCCTACATATAAATGTACTCTAATAAAATCAAAAGGCGATTTCTTCCCTTTGTTTATAAAGAAAATACCTACGAGGAGTATTCCACTTTGAAGCAAAACGTACATCCACAGTGTACTGTACTATGTACTATGTTGGAACTTCCTGGTAAGGAACTGCGTCAGCATCATCAACTGCGTCACATCCTAGCACGATTTAAAGTTATAAAATTACAACAACAACAACAACAAAAATTATACTTTAAATCACCATTTCCTAAATACGATACGGTTATGAATTATCCAAACATGTGGACTCGTAAAAAGTACGATATGCATCTGTATGAATACTATGAATTAACCGAACATGGGCAACTCCTGCTAAGTTGTAGCCTGTGTTGATTTAGCCAGAAGCTAAATAGAAGCCAGAAGTTAAATGAACACCGTTTCCCTGTATGTAACAATTTGGTTGTGGGTATAATTTAGCTTTCAATTTGGGGAACCACCAACAGACCAACATTAAAAACATAATAAAAAAAATGGTGTCAAACTGTCAACCAGAAAGAAAATGTGAGAAATGTAATTGAATGTGTCGCTTTATTTTGACCATGTTTAAATAATAATAAAAAAGAAATAAACAAAAAACACAAGCAAACAAAACAAACCATATGAAAAAAATTATCATCATAAAAAACATCAAAAAGGATTAGGAAGAAGCATAATTTAACACCACCCACTTTCCACTAAAAAAAGCTGATTATTGCTGGCCACCACTCATTGGTTGGCACTGATTGTCATTTCTAGCAGGTGTGTGAATTCTTTCTGAACTGAAGAATACAAAAGCTGGCTGAAACACTGCTTTATTACTTGAAGGACCAGCAGTGTGAGGCAGCCACTGGAATTTAAAATTGTAATTGTAATAGTAATAGTAATGGGGCTGATGCAGGCTGGGTTTTTATTTCTGCTGTTTTGGTCTGCCTGTTTTCAGTTTATAGATAAAGCTGAGTATGGTGTGTTTGGGCAAGATCCTGAATTAGACCAGGAAAAAATGGAGACAGTGGCAGATGAAGATGAAACGGAAGATTCTGCACCTCAACTCAAGAGGAGTGCATCACATGGAGATCTTTCAACACCTGAAGCAATGAAGTTACCCAAGTATCTCAATGTCCCAGCCTCCTATGACCAAAAGCAGCTTTTCAAGCCAGAAAGAGGAGTCAGGCCCCTTCCTGAATGGGCCAGGAAAATATTGCTTGCTAGTGCTCCTGCTGCTCCTGTAACTGGAGGAGCAGAAATGGGCAGAGACAATGTGGTTGAAATTTTGTGCCATGTGGATAAAATGTACGTAAGAATCAGGAAAAGGGTCTTCAAATCCAGAGATGCATACAAATATTTGAAACTAGGTACATGCCCCGTTAACCAAGAAAATGAGCACTATTACTACTTTCTCTACTCTTTTGTAACTGGCTGTGGATTCAAGAAAGAGGTTGGTGAATGTCCTAATGTATTTGTTTCATATTTTACTGTGACAAACCAAATGGAAATGTTTATGTTCCAGAGTCATGCAGATTACTTGTCCATCAGCAATGTTCTCCGCTTCAGACAAACCACTCCAGTTTTAAGGGAAATGCCATTTGAAATTCCTCTGCAGTGTCGGTTTCCCAGGTAAGACTTTTTTTTTGTAAAAAAAAAAAAGATTGTGAAAGCCTTTCAATCAGCCAAGTGTCCTTAATTTTAAAATTGTCTCCAATTAATTCATTTTAACTATTGCAGGTTCTTTCACTCATACAAAGTTGGCTTCCACCCCAAACTGCGAGGAGGAACAGTTTTCAGAGCACTGAAACAAAAAAGAATGTTCAGCCTCACCCTTGTAGATGGTAAACATTCTAGACTAAATTTCATTGCTGTCCAAAATTTGAATTCTTCAAATGGTAGGCCTTAAGTATGTTTTAAAGTAAAGACTTTCAAATATGGCTGGTAACACTAAATATTAAACTCCCAAAGTCTTCTATCAAAGTGGAAAGTAGCATCCAAACCTTTTTAATTCTAGGTATGAATGAGGAAATAGAAATTTGACAAACCTTTCTGTGCAAGGACTTTAAATTTTTTTTTATAGAAAGTACACCACAGACAAGCTTAAGTTCAAGCAAATGTTTATTTCATATACCATAACAGCTGCCTGTCTTTTATTTTGGCATGCAAATGTACACTATGGAGCTACAACAGCATCCATACTGGTGAAAGCTTAGGGAAGGATAAAATGTTCCCCAAACATTTTTCAGAACTCATCACAATGCACTCAGTTAGCCAAACATATGCAGCAGCCTGATTTATTTTTGCCTTTTATTGTGCTTTGCCACTTTCACCCTACTAAAGCGTCTGGAAATAATGTCACTGGGACCAAAATCTACACCTTGGGACAGTCTATGTACTTTGAGGCCAGTGTACTTTACACCACAGCAAGCTCTAGAAATAAAAGGCTCTACATCAACAAGTGCTTCATGACCCCTTCCAGCAACCCAGACTCAAATCTTAAATATACAGTCGTTGACAACAATGGGTAATAATTTTACAGTATCATAATTAAAACTGGGGTGACTTGCTGCGAGTGGATAAACCTGTGATCTCCAATTCTAGCTGTATGATTGATGGCAAGGTGATGCTACAGTCAAAGTTCCTTACTGGTAGCTCGAAGATGGTGCAGAGATTGACTGTGGGAGCTGTCATCTTCAAGGACTCTGCTTCCATGATCTCATCACAGGTAGCCTCAATAGGTTGTATAGAAATGGATGCCATGAAATGCATTATGTAAACACTAAATGCAATGTCTCTTTAGGAACAGTACTTGCACTGTGAGATCTTTATGGGGTCACCTACTCCAACTCGTAATTCGAAGGCTTGTAACTATGATCCAGTGACTGGAAGGTGAGTTGGCTAAACTGAAATTCTACGAGGTGTTACTTTTGTGCTTGCTATCATCAAATCTTTTGACCCCGCTTTGTGTTTTAGCTGGAAAGAGCTCTACGGGTATGACACTGTGTGCGCTTGTTGTGAATCAACTTGCTCGCCACCACAGCAAAGGGGTAATTTTTAAATTTACATGAGATGCAATAGCTTTTCACTCAGCTAAGCTTAGCTCATTGCAAGTTGAATGAAGTCTTTTTGATGCAAACTGACAACCAGACAGTCTTGCAGAACACTGAAGGCATGAAAGTGGTCTCACATGTGAGCAAATAAAATTTTAAACTTTTTTTTTTTTTTTTTTTCCCCCCTCCACCAGCTTCTAGGAAGATAATCTCAAGTCACTCTTGGATGGTTGACTTGACCAGTGAAGATGAACATGTAAAGTCTGAGCCCAAGATGAAGTCCCGTGATGCTGGCATGTTCAACTTGGATGACTCGGATACAGGAAAAACATAAGGACTTCCTAAACAATTGGGACCAATAATTTAATGTTTAAATGATCAGAATTGTTTTAAAAATAGCGGCTTTATTTCTTGAACTCTGCACAGTATGCCATTTATGAATGTACAACAACTTGTTTACTGTCAACGGTTCAATTGAAAATTAAAACTCTAAATTGCACTGTCGTCAAATGTTCAGTTTGCTCTTTCAGTATATTTTGCGTAATCATCAACCATCATGTATGCGTTTCTAAGCATCTCCTGGAAATGCATCATAGCGTTCCTGTACATGCAGTTATGTACCACAAGAGGATAGAAGAGATTCACTGGCTTTGCTCTGATTAATTCAGCAGGAAGTTCAATAACCTCAGTTAAAGAACTGCCAATGAGAATGTGTTTCAGTACCTTTTTCTCAAGGCTTCTTTCTATAAAGGATAGCAAGTCTCGTAACCTCGAATCAACACAGTTTGCGTTCCAGTGTCTTGGGTCTGTGGTGAGAAGCAGATGCATTAGGGCCGTTTTGAAATGAAAATCTTTCAGCGCACTACTTCCTGTCATTGCAGTCTGCCTCTTGTGAAGGAAACGTGCAATTTCAAGTGCTTGAATATGACAAGCATTTTCAGGCAGGCGTTTCGAGAGATGTTCTAGGAGATGGTCTTCATAGCTGGTTAAGGATAGTCTCCAGAAAGTATCTGCATCACTTGAGGACCAAGGTGTGATGAAAAAATAAGCATCATCATTAAATGTAACCACGGGATTCATACTAAAGGTGATCTTCTTGCCTGACTTGAACCTGATCACTAGAGCACCAGGAGCATCAATATAGTGAATATTGAGCTCAAACTCATACTTGTGTGAAATCAGTCTCCATGCTTGTTTTATAGTGCTCTGAAACCATCTGGAGACCAGTGATTTTGACAAGAAAGGAGTGTTCTTTGAGCACAGAAAACCATCACAAACCTCAGTAATTTCTGTCCTTACGTTCTCATTGTGGTCAGAATGCAGCAGGCAAACCATATCCTCATCTGCATCAGAGGTCTGACAGGGGCAATCTTGGGTTTTCTTATTTTCCAAAAGTTTTATTTGACCGCACACTGGCATATTTGAAAAATCCCTCCCTTTGTGGTTACAGAGCTGAATGTGAAAACTAAATGGCTTAGGTGGGGTCAAAGGGACAATGATATTACAGGCACTGAGCATCTGAAAGTCCTCAATCACCATACTGCCATTTTTACCACATATGGTCCTCATAGCATCTAGTAGGTCATTTGCAAATCCTTCCAGAAACTCATCCTTCCTCCACTTCTTTTGAGATGATTCTTGAACGTATTTAGCATAAAAATCGTTAAGTGTGCCGATGTCTGGTAGCTGCACTTCATCAGCAGCGCACGTCACAGGGGAGGCTGCTATTTGTGTCATTTGGGAATTCCTATTCAGGTATTTCCAACAGAAACGGATCATGGAAATCACTGAGAATGTGTTCCAAATGTACCAGAGGTAATCTCTTTCCCATTCTGCAATTGATTTCTCTGAGGTTTCATTTTCTGATGTCTTGACATTTTTAAAAGGTGTGTCTTGTCCTTTGGAACTAGATATTTCCTTCTCAGGTCTTGCATGCTGCCCCTGTGGTTTGCCAGGGTCTCCAAAAGAGCTGTCAGTATGGATATCTTTTCCCTTTAGCTCATTAGCATCTTGTGATGTCTTTAAAGCAGCCTCTGGTTCAGCATTATCATTTTTAGGCACACTTGGATCTGATTTAGCTGTGGATCGGCCCCGTAGTAATTCATGATTGCTGCCATGTCCTTCTGACTCTAAAAGTTTGTCTTTTTCAGTGACGTTTTGATCAGACTTCTGTTCATCATGAAAGTTTCTGTCATGTTCAGTCTCATTTTTGTCTGTGTGTATTTTCTCACTGACAGGTGGCATTTCCTGGTCGAGTTTCTCTTCCTCTCTCAGCAGCTTCTCTTCATGCCTTTGCATGTCCTTGTTGACAATACCGTCCCATTCCTCAACTCCAGGGTCATCCTTTGGACACATTAGGAGACCGAGACCCACCACAAACACTCTCAGCAGAGTTTCTTGCATCGTCAGTATTGTCTATGAGTGAATTAAATGGCAGCATTCAGTCAATTATAAAAATGCATGTGATTAATTAGTGATTAATAAAACAAAACACGACTGAATCTAAAACCTTGCAATTATCCATTAAAATAATTCAAAAACAATGTTCCTGCTAGCAAATTTTACAGTGATGCAAGAAAACAGAGAACGAAGCAACTTCCTCTCTTTACTTATTTCTTTCTGTTGTTACTTTATATGCTAAATACTAGATTACTTTTTGCACATGACATTAAAAGAGAAGAAGAATACGCACCAGAAAGTATGTTTATCTCAATAATGCAACGCACTGAATAGGTATACAGACGGAACTAAGAGATCAACCTTGCACAGCCGCAGGTTCTGTGATCTCTTCCTATTTTAGATGTAGGTTGCCTTCTGTGACTTATTTCCTGCACACCCTGCCCATGTGCTCTGCTGTGACATTTTCCTGTGCAATAGACAGAAGAAAAGATAGCACAGACTTCCTGTAAATTCAACTGCAATTTCAAAATGTCAGAATTGAGCAATTACTTTGAATCGGTTAGACAGTTTTTACCAGTAAGCAGTATGAGGTTGTTTAGATCATTTCATAGTATACTATGAAATGAACGCATTTAGCCACCTACCTTTGTTCAAATAAAAACAATGGTGTTTTATATGCATGAATAGCAGAGAGTGCCTCTGTCTTTTATCTTCTTGTGGGTTTCTAACTGGTTTGTCAAGCTCTATTACAGTCAGTGGGTCCAGGTGCTCTAAAAGAGTTATGTGAAATAAAGTAATCAATATGTGATAACATTAGTAGTTATATTTTAAAAGTGAAGCCTTCGATTTGATTCTTCTGGTTTTGATTACGCAAGTGAGAACAGGCTGAACCCTCACCTCTTAGACAATTACATTTTCCAGCCAAAGCCACAGATATTTGAATGGGTTGAAAGTGTTTTTGCATGTCTTCGTTGTTACGACTACACATTAACACAACTACACCCTCGAAGTTCGGGTTTCTCGAATAAACCTCACCACACACTGCATGCATATTAGCAAATAAAGGCATTCCCAGAAACGATGGAAACTATATGTTCCCTTTAACAGGTGTACTTTTGAGAATGTGGGGTGAATCAGAATTTGTTTTGGCATCACACTAAAGACAGGTGCCTATGAAGGGAGGGGCATGATGACAGATGATGCTGCTCGCTTTGGACAGAGAGTTCGAGAAGCACCTTTCAGTTGGTCAGGGGTATGATGATTGCTAAGTACAACAGCAAAACTTCTATTATGGACACTGTCCTTATATGGTTTTTTTAAACCTTTGATCTATTCATTGACTCTTGTTTAAAGAGGTAAGTGTATTTTATGTATTTCTTGTATTTATTCCTCTATATTAAACCGATAGCCCAGTCCACATTAAAGCTGTTTTAAAGTAGAAGTCATAGTTTACAGAGATTATAATATCACTATTTAACATGGTGCCTTTAATAAATTATGTTTTATGGCCTAATTAATGAATATGCAGTAAGTTCCAAATGCTTTAAAGATAAGTAATAATCACTTTTAATAAATTTTGACAGTCCAGTGTTGTGATATTTCTCTACCTACTAAGCCTCTAATTCAATAGAAAAAGGAATGCAGAACCAAAAGTCTATTTATCACTTACTTGACTGCTTAATAACACATATAGCATTTGGCCTGATGGTTTATTTTCCCTTAAAATTCAACATTCAAATAGTTGTTTCACAGTATGGCACTCCAAAAGTTGATCTTTGCCATCTTTTATAGATTTCTATATCACATGTAAAATATTTGCAATTATTTTTTAACCATTAATAAAGATTTTACTAGAACCTATAATCATTTCTCGTAAAAATCTGATTTTATGCCTTTTTTGCCTTATCTTAAACATGTTACTGTCCTTTTTTTAACAGGTTTAAGTATTTGTGAACTAAAGACCCGACACATTTCTCAAGATGGATAAGTTTCGTATGATGTTCCAGTTTCTCCAATCCAACCAGGAGTCTTTTATGAATGGAATCTGTGGTATCATGGCACTAGCTAGTGCTCAAATGTACTCAGCGTTTGAGTTCAGCTGTCCCTGTATGCCAGAGTATAACTACACCTATGGGATCGGACTGCTTCTTATTCCTCCCATATGGTTCTTTTTGTTAGGTTTTGTATTGAACAATAATGTGTCAGTGTTGGCAGAGGAGTGGAAAAGACCCACTGGGAAAAGAATCAAGGATCCAACAATCCTGCGCTACATGTTTTGCTCAATCACACAGAGATCTTTGATTGCCCCTGCAGTGTGGGTGTCTGTCACTCTCATGGATGGGAAGAGCTTCCTCTGCGCTTTCAGCATCAGCTTGGATATTGACAGGTTTGCGAATTCCAGTGTCATTCAAGGAATGTCAGAGACGGAGAAGTTAAAATTCCTGGCACGTATCCCTTGTAAAGACCTGTTTGAGGATAAGGAATTAAGAGAGGCAGCATCGAGATACATCAAGTGTATATCTCAGGTATCCCATTGTTTATTTGCAACCCTGTGTGAGTGGTTTCTAAGTATGACTTTCTGACAAAATCAAGCAAGGTGTGCAATTTCTCTCACCACATTTATGAAAAATATTAATAGTTGATAAGCTGGTGGCTATATGCCATGATGGTTGTTTGATAAGCCACTTCGATAGCAAACAAAAAACTTAACTTGTATAGCACTTTTCCAAACACATAGTTACAAAGTGTTTACCCGTTTGAAGAAAAAAAAAAAGGCAGACACCACATGATCCAACATTCAGGCATTCATTCCAACATACACACTTCCATACAGGCAAATAGATGCAAACTATGGCCCAAATAATGGGAGAAAGATTAGGGGAAGCTACCCTCAATCAAGACTTTTTGGCAGTGGTTGAAAAGAAATCACTGAATCGGCTGAACTCGTAGGCTGACAAAGGCTGTTCCAAGGTTATAAGCTAGATAGACTCTGGTTTTAATGTAAAGCACACGGAACAAATAGGAGACCTTCATCAAATGATTTGAGTGATAAGGTCTCACCAGCTTTGATATACAGTGCAACCATAAAGTATCCTTTACTTGTTCCACAATTTTTTATGGTACAGTCTTATTCCAAAATGGATTAAGTTTATTTTTCTCTTCAATATTCTACACACGATATCCCATAATGACAAAGTGGAAAATTGCTTCAAATGTTTAGCAAATTTATTTAAAAAAACAAAACAAAAAGCATAACATGCACATAAGCATTCGCAGCCTTTCCCATGTCACTCAAAATTCAGCTCAGGTGTATCCTATTTCCACTGATCCTTTGTTAGACGTTTCTACAAGTTGATTGAAGGCCACCTGTTGTAAATTCAGTTGATTGGACATGAATTGGAAAGGCACACACCTGTTAAGCCAATGAAGAGAAGCCACTGTGAGAGAAATATTGACTTCTCTTCATTGGCTCCCTGTTAAATCCGGAATGAAATTAAAAATCCTTCAACTCACATACAAGGTCTTGATTAATCAGGGCCAATCTCATCTTAAAGATCTCAGAGTACCAAACACCCCCAGTAAAGCACTTTGCTTTCAGACTGCTGGACTACTTTTGTTACGTAGTGTTTTTAAAAGTAGAATGGGAGCCGGAGAATTCAGCTTGGTTCTTCTGTGAAATCAGCTCCCAGTTTGGATTCAGGAGACAGACACCCTCTCTACTTTTAATATTAGGCTTAAAACTACTCTTTTATACAAAGCATATAGTTAGGGTTGGATCAGGTGACCCTGAATCCTCCCTTAGTTATGCTGCAATAGGCCGCGGTTACTGAAGTCATGATGCATTGAGTGTTATTTTATTGTAGGGTCTTTATCTTACAATATAAAAAATGCCTTGTGGTGACTCTCATTGTGATTTGGTGCTATATTAATACCCTCAGAGAGAGGATTCTGTCGAGGTCCAAATGGGCACACTAGATCCCATCATCCATACATTTAAGTAGTTTGGAACCACCAGGACTCTTTGTGGAGATGGCCGCATGGTCAATCTGAGCAATCAAGGTAGAAGGGCCTTAGTCATGGAGGTGACCGAGAACCCAATAGCCATTCCACAGAAATCCAGCCTTGCTCTTTCTCTCGACCCTGACGAGATTAAACAAATATGAAATAAATATTAACTCTTTGGCCTGAATGCCAAGCAATATGTCTGGCAGAAACTGGGCCAATACCATGCCTACGGTGAAGCAAAGGCTGTAAAATCTATGTACATTTTCTATTTTTATGTATTTATTCATTTTGATAAATTCGTAAGAATTTCAAGCTTTTTTTTTTTTACTTAGGAAAACTTATCATTAAGGGGTGGGCAGAATTTTGTGTTGAAAATAAATTTAACGAAATGTGGAAGAAGTAAAAAGCTATAAATACTTTCCTGATGCACTGCATAAGCAGGGGCCTGCTCATGTAGAGCTTTACGTGTTAATAATAGGACTTGCTATGAAGAACTGAGAGATACAAGTGAAAAGTGAGTTAAAATAATCAAGGCGAGAGAAAATTGAAGTGTCGACTAAAAGTTCCAGATAGTTAAGGTCTGACTTTTGAAATAGACTGGACTGGATGAGTTTAGACATTCTTAGAGATTAAGATATTAGACAGCTTAGAGATTCAAACTTTAGATGTTGTTCAAAGATGATACCAAAAGCTTCTTAGAAAATGATCTAATTACCGCCGATGTGGGGCCGATGTGCTGACTGACCTCCTTAGTGAAACTGTCAGGGCCAAATACAAGAATGTTACTTTTAGTAGAATTGAGAAAAAAAGATAACATTAAATATACAAGTGTGAAATAAACAGTGAAAACACTGCATTTAGAGGATACACCAATATATCTTCATCCAAAAAGCATATTAATAGCCAAAATGGGAAACATACACCGATCAACCGTAACATTATGACCAACTAATATTGTGTTGATTCCTCTTTTGCTGGCAAAAAAAAGTCCTGACCTGTGGATACATGGACTCCATTAGACCCCTGAAGTTCTGCTTTGGTATATGGCACCAAGATGTTAGCAACGGATCCTTTAAATCCTGTAAGATGAGAGGTGTGGCCTCCGTGGATCAGATATGTTTGTCTAACACAGGGGTCCCCAATCCCAGTCCAGGAGGGCCGGTGTCCCTGCAGGTTTTAGATCTCACAATGGGTCAACACACCTGAATCACATGGAGAGAGAATTTCAATACATGTTGAGAAGGTAATTTATCCATTAAAATCAGCTGTGATGGATCAAGGACACATCTAAAACCTGCAGGGACACCGGCCCTCGTGGACTGGGATTGGGGACCCCTGGTCTAACACATCCCACAGATGCTTGATTGGTCAACACCTCAAACTCTTTGTTGTCCTTCTCAATCTATCCCCGAACCATTTTTGCTTGTTAGTAGGGCTCATTATCCTGCTGAAAGAGGCCACAGACATCAGGGAATACTGTTCTCATGACAGGGTGTAAATGGTCTGCATCAATGCTTAGGTTGGTAATATCAAGGTAACACCCACGTGGATGGCAGGGCCCAAGGTTTCCCAGCAGAGCATTATCAAAGCATTACACTGCCTCTGCCAGCTATCCTTCTTCATAGTGAATCCTGGTGCCAAGTGTTCCCCAGGTAAGCAATTCACATGCACCTGACCATCCCAGTGATGTCAAAGAAAATGGGACTCATCACACCAGGCTAGCTTCTTCCACTGCTCTACGGTCCAGTTCTGATGCACACATTTTTGGTGGTTGACAGGGCTCAGCAATAATAATAATAATAATAATAATAATAATAATAATAATAATAATGTGAGGCACTGTGTTTTCTGACACCTTTCTGTCAGAACCAGCATTAAGTTTTTTGAGCTACAGCAGCTCATCTGTGGGATTGGCCCACATGGACCAGCCTCCCCACCCTAAACTCGTCAGTGAGCCTTGGTTGCCCGTGACCCTTGTTCACAACTCTTCTTTCCTTGAACTTTTAATAGATACTGACCACTGCAGACCAAGAACACCACACAGCTGCAATTTTGGAGATGCTCTGACCCAGTGGCCTACCCATTACAATTCGGCCCTTGTCAAACTTGCTCAAATACTAACACTTGCCCATTTTTCCTGCTTCTAAAACTCAGCTTTGAGAACACTAATATATCTCACCCACTAAAGGGTGAGATGATAAGGAGATAAATGTTATGTCTGATCGGTGTATGAGCCAATCATGTTGTTCCATTGACACAAGTGCACAATAGATGCTCCTGAAAGTTTTAACATATTATTTTTTCTCTGTCTACTGTAACCACAACATGAATTTTATTCTGTGCTCTAGAGCCATAATAAAGCAGCTTTAGTTGTTAGTGGGTTTTTTCAGGTTTGTCCCTATGATCATAAAGAAAATAACTTTTATGGCCTTCTCTCCATTCATTTAGCCGTTTAAAAATAAACCCCCACATACCTGCCTAAAGATTTTGCTAAGATGGGAGCAAAGCGGTGAGCTTTGCTTCTTGAAGGACTTTGGTGTCATCCTTGCTGATTTACACCAACGGTAAAAAAAAAAGACATTTATCATTGTGAGTGGCCAATGTTTGTGCTGACTACATCTTCAAACACAGCAGAATGAAGAGCTGAAAGATTTCAAGCTGTTTTAAGGGATCTTTCGAGGCTCTTTTGAGGGAAGTCTGGCTCATGTGATCCAATTTTTAATTATGCAGATTTCTTTTGTTTCCCTGGCAGAAACAATGTGGATAAACAGGCCAAAACCAAAATAAATAGAACACAAAATGTCGGTATTGTCCAGCTGCTGGTATCAGTCAATAATTTCTCCATTAAAAAGTAATGGTAGCTGAATTCCACAGTCTTGGTATTGTTCGTGCTGACTCATTGTCACTCGAGTAGCTGAATAGAAAAGACGTATTGTTACTGTTATTAGTACCACCTGCAGTTTTTCTCCATGGCGAGTCAAAATGACTGACAACAAAATGACAACACTGCCCTTAGCTGACAATATTTAATTTAAAAAAAATAAATTGGTGAGTTTGTATTTGGCTGTTTCAAGTATTGTTCGGCTGAACAGATTTAGATTTGACTCTTAAGCTAACTAAATGAATAGCTAAATAAGGAACCAAAGATTCACCATCTTTCTAAACTGTAGAGAGTTGTCCTTTAAAAGGCATTTACGCAATCAAATTTAATTCACAAAAAAATAATAATAATATGAATAATCTAATTAAATAAAACCATCAAAAGAGTACCAATGTGGGCCCTCGTGACCTCAGTGTCTCTAAAATCCTGGCTTCAGCCCTGGCTGTCATTTCACTGAACTATTTTAACTTCAAAACAAGGAAAACTAATTTTAGTTTCTTCGCTTTATTCCTCAAAGACTGCTCTTAACTTAAATCTCCCTGCCAGACTATAATTCACTTTACAGTTTGAGCTCACTGAAGCTTTCCTGCTGGCTTGTTAGAGCAATAGATAAGCCTTGAAATTTATTATTCATGGAACTGGGACCTCTTCCACTTCTTCCAAAAACACCCACACTGTTATTTAGGTCTTTGATCAGCTGAAGGGCAATTATACAGGCTTAAAAGTAAGATATCTCTAAAAAGTCAGTTGATATACAGATTCTGTTAATGAGCTATGACGCTGTCAAGAAGCTGCTAAATATGCCTTCTTCACCACATCTGATTTTCAGTAGCTGCACAAGCACAGATAAATCAGAAGGAGTGAAGATTAGCAGGCTGTCTATGTGTGATCCTTCTAACATCTATAGTTTGTTTATAGTGCATCATTAGAGAGCTCAAAATAGTGGTCATTTTGCTGGATTTATCATTTCTGCATTTCACAGGCATGCGGATGGATGGTTTTGCTCATGATGACCTTCACTGCCTTCCTGATCCGAGCTATTCGGCCATGCTTCACCCAGGCCGCCTTCCTCAAAACCAAATACTGGTCCCATTATATTGACATTGAACGCAAGATGTTCGATGAAACCTGTAAGGAGCACGCCAAGAGCTTTGCCAAGGTTTGCATCCAGCAATACTTTGAGAACATCAGCGGAGAGATGAGAAGCTTCCACCGCCATCACAGCAAACACGACAGCGACAACGAAGATGAAGACACGTGGAAGAGTGATGAGGAAAAGCTGTTGGGTATCAGAGCCCAGGATGATATGAACAAAGTTTTGTGGAACTGGCACACCTGTAAGCCACCTCTGGCTCTGAGAAAAGAACATGAAGATGGTGAAAAAAAGGGGGAAATGAATGGAAACATTAACGGGGAAATAAATGGGTTTGTAAAGAGCCACACTCACGATGTGGAGAAAAAAGAGTGGGCGGTGTATTACAGTAAGGTCTAAAGAGTTCAAAGAGAAACTATTTTTTTCCAGAGTATTTTATTTGCGAAAGATAGAATATATATTATTGCATTCTGCACTGCAGTTTAAGCTTTATTTAAACGCACACTATTTTAACTGACTGGTTGACTGATGGTATAATCTATATGTATGTAGCTATGTATAATAGATTTTAAGAAAACAAAAACTGTCGACATATTTCTGGTTCACATACAGTTCAGTTTACAGAGAACATGTCTGGCACTGGGTGTAATCCAAAGTCTGTTGTTTTCATTTCTGTGTTTTATCTGTTTGTCATGAATTATTGTCGAAAACACGCTCTCATCGTTCCCCAAGGGACTGAGCTTGTGCGGAAATCTGAAGTCTGTAAATTCTAGGCTGCTAATAAGTGCTGCTTTATCAGGCTGATAGTAAAGCATTATTAGAGCACACTGGAGAGTTCTCATTGATAACACTAATGAATGTTTGTATTGCTCTCAAGTGCAAGGCCACCATAAATATTCCCAGAGCAGAACTAAACAGAAATGAAAACATCGCTTAGAAGAGCTCCGTTTACGTCAAGCACCCACTGTGTCTCGTGCAACCTATATCTTAAAAAAACGATGAAAAGTTGATCTTGTTAGCGATAAAGGACACTTATTTCTGTATGCACAGAGATTTTTCTGAAACGGCTTCTTGCCTTTTCTGCTGTGGCCTGTAGATGAATAATGGCAGCTAACTGAGGCTGCTGCGCACCTGAGATTACTACGTGGATTGTCTCTGAATATAACGCTACAGAAATACTGCATTTGCAATAAAGCAAACCTAAGATTTATGCAAAAACTAAAGGTTGCCGCAGTCAAAACAATTTACATGTCACTGCGAAAACAAGGTCTACATTTGCATCTTCTTTATTTGCTTGCTCAGCCCCAATTCTGTCACTCACTCCCTGGTAAACCCTATTTTACAATCACCGAGCAAACACTTTGCTTCTGTTCTATTTGAAAAGGCTTTTAAATATTTATTTCAGAAAAATGTAATTAAAGCTGAATGTGTAACCTTTTTGATATACCTATATAAAGATGGGTAATAAAAAGCGTCTTATTACAGTGTTTGGCTATCATATGCCTCTAAGACAGCATCAGTGGAGCGTCCAATGCTGCTGGAAAGCTGGGGTAACTTTCTTTCAAAATATATTGTTGTCCTGATGGCGGTGGTAGAAATGGTATCTACAACACTGGTCCAACATCTCCAAAATGGTTTAATTGCATTGTGATCCGGTAACTATGATTTTCACATAGGGTAAGGGTTAGGGTTAGTGACCCCTCGTGCTCTGTGCGGGTACTGTCATCCCTGAAGAGCCCATTCTCTTAGAACAACAGAAATTTCCATAATTTCAGAAAATCTGTCAAATGGAATGACCTTTCTCCCTAAAGGGATAAGCAGGTCAACGCAAGAGCAGCAAAATGCTCCAAACAGCCTAACAGAGCTGCTGGACTCCCTCACTATAGAGGTGAAGAGTTCACGTTTTTCCTTTAATTTGTCTCCTGTCCACGTCATCAGCAAGCTGTCAACACAATGGTGTTTTTCCCATATTTCACAAGAGGGCGTCCTGTTACCAAAAGCATCACCTTTCACATGCCTACAGTGGCAACACAACCTTTGGCTACAACACATCGGGTCAGTCAAACTTGTAAGAACCCAACAATGCACGCACTGTGTTAAAGAGAGTATTTAGGCTCGTGCTTCTGTGCAGCCAATCCAGCTGTTCCCCCGTACTCAGGAGTAATGCCATTTCTAGAGCATGGTGGAGGAAGGAGGAGAGGAGGGGTAAATGAAAATGGCATGTATCCTATTGAACTCTCTCCCTCCCTCTTTCCCTGCCCTTAGGGATTAGAGGAGCAGCACTCCCCTTGACCGCTTCGCAGCTTGCCCAGTAGCCCAGCAGCTGTTCTCTCCCTCAGCGAATTGGCAGCCAGGGCTCCTGGTGTGGGGGTGGCATGAACACAACGTCTTTGTCTGTCATTTTTCTCTTCCCACTTTTTATCTTATCTATACAATCTCATATGCAGACGTACTTCCTGATTCATGTTCTTTCTATTGGTTCTCTTGTCACAAAGCAGTGACATCATCATTTACATATATATATATATAATATTAGATCAAACAAAGCAAATATTCAAAACAAAAGCGAGTATCACACTATTACAAAAATACCGTTTGGTTATGTGTGAAGTGAGGAATGACGATGAATCATTTATTCTTTTTCTGACCTCCATTTCACACAAATGGCTTTGTTTTGGTTGTCAGGACATCAGCCATGCGCATATCACTGACCGGGGCCTCCCTTGACTTTGCTGCAAGTGTCTCTTTTCTCTCCCTCTCACATATACAGGCACAGGGGTGTGCGCATACAGACACATATACATCAGCATGCTTGCAGGAGCCCTATTCGTCAGTGTCTGGCTCATTCTGCCTTCCTTCTGCCTACAGATTGGAGGACAGAGGTAGCAAGGGAGGGCTGAGGGAGAGGAGAGTTGCGAGGCAAAACGGCTGGTCACATGAGCAGAGATCTGTTTACAAACCCAAGGCAGAGCAGAGCAAGAGGAGGAAGGGAAAGGCGAATCGCAGGCTCTCTCTCTGAGCACCATTATAGATTGAAAGAGGAAGAAGGGAAGCCTGCCATGACAAAGCCAGCTGGAGGTGCAAGAGGCTGAATGCGACACACGCAGACACACTCTTGCGCACACACCGCCTTTGTCTCAGATTTTTTTTTCTTCTCAATTGAAGCAGCAGATGGTTAGAGGGAGAGTAGGATCCCCCCCTACGCGCACACACATCCACTGACTGAAACACAAACACACACTCGCAAGCAAAACACCAAACCCAGCAAGAGGACTGTTGTTGACTGCATGGAGCTGTCCTCACTTTGTTTGGGCTTTGAAGGAAGCATATCTTTGCCTTCTGTGCTGAGGAGAAATATCAACTGCAAGATCAGAAGACTGGAGGAGGAGACAACAGAGGAGACAAGAGGGGGATGAGACTTGTGAAAATCCCCTGTTAAAAAAAGCAGCTTTTCGAGGAAGACAAAGCACAGATTAATGTCAGATAATTGCCTTCACTGGGTGAGGACTGTCATTTTGAAAGCTAGCTGTTACTGAGTTTCGTGAAGGGACGACACTGCAGACACAAAGTGAAGTCAAAGAGGCCCCTTTCTGGTGGAAATGTAAGTATTTCCTGTTACAAAGCAGCCCGTGTTGTTTACCACACTGCGATCAAGCGAGAATCAGTTTCTCACAGTAACAACTGCTGAGCTGCACCTGGTGTGAGATATATGAGAAACAATCATCTCATCTAAACAGGTTTTCTTTGTCTCTTTTCTCTTCTGTGATGACATCATTCTCACTGGGATCCAGGAGCACATGAGGTCTCCAGTCCTGGTCCAAACCTCAGTCCCAAATCTCCCAATCTTAACACAGAGCGGTTAATCCAGATTTGGGAATGTTGGGCAGCACAGATTGCTGAGCCAACAAAACCACACCTCCAGAGGATTTGTGGAATCTGAGCAAATCTTGATGGTTGTTGTTTGCGGGAGCTAGCACAACCCAAGAAAAAGAGCAATCCAGCTCAGTGTAACTGAATCTAGACTCCAAAACAGATTTCAGTGTCCGAAGCTCCAGCCCACGAGTTTGGCTTGTCTCCAGCCTTTTCCTGACAGGGCCTGAATTTACTGCGGCTGCCTTGGGAGTCACATTTCATGCAACCATTCCAATGGTGTAACGGTAAGTGAGTGGATTCCTTGGCACTTCTCTAAATATATGAGAGATGGAAGCACATGTACTTACTTCATAAACTAAGTTACTTAGTTGCTGGCTGTTGGCTAATGGGATTCAGATAATGGATGTGCTTGTGAATGGGCAAATTGCAGGGAGTGGAGGCCTTAGATAGTGTTTTGAAGAGTGAGCTGAGAGCACTTAAAATAAGCTGCTTTCCAGAACATGTTGTTTCGTTTGGGTTTTTTTGTTGTTGTTGACAACTGTGACATTTTATTCTGTTACCTTGCTCCATATTTTTATTTTTCTTCTTTGGGGTGATTCCTAATTGTATCTTTCATTATGCTACAATAGGTCTTTCCTATGAAACCCTCCACCCGGTTCTTGTAAATCCCCCAACCCCCAGCCATGTCAAATTACCCTTCCCATACCCCCCACAGTGTGCAAGCTGTACCCATTCATTCACTCTAAAGAGAGACACATGGACATTTAGAGGCTGGCAAAGAGCATCCTCGCTACAAATTAATAGGAACACATGTGGCCTGTGGAAGTGGGGCTTCCTCTGCTATTGTTTTACCAAATGGCCCTTGTCCCCCAAGTTCATTCTGTTTAATGCATCACACCCCCCGCCACCTGCAACGCACACATATTTCGATTGTACCACACAGACACCACGCAGCTTTGCTTTTCCATCCCCGAGCGCACACACACGAGCTCACACTCTACCAGTCATCTCTGTAGTCTGTGGAACAGATGGTGGTGTGGCGGAAGTGATGTCTGCCCTTCATGTTTGTCTTGTTCACAGCAAATTAACGCACAGTCCTATGAGCGTCTCAGTTGCCACCACAGTGCCAGTCACAGTTCCCCAGACACACCTGCAACTAAGCACTTACTAAATTTGAACCCTTAACAAATGCTGTAAGTAAAGCTTGTGATTTTTGTGGAGTTTACCTAGAGTGTCACATGCGTTTGCAATTTATAGTTCCACATCAGCAGACACACTCAGTTTTACTGGCACTAGAAGCTTGTCCATGTTCTTGTTAATGATCAACGTTTGTGTACTTGTCTTCAATGATTAATCTTTCTTTTCATTTTATATTGGAAATAAAGTGTTTATGATTTGCCAATAAGAGTTTGGGCGTTCCCCTTATTCCTTAGAAAGGAAAATTACCTTCAGCTGTCTACCAGAGTAATTGCTCAAACAAACGGCACAGTCTAATGTTTATGCTATCAGTTTCACTTTAAACTGTC